AACTCTGAACATTCGCTTTCAATCGGATCCATTTCAGGTTCAAACTCAAAACTTACAGATTCCTTTCCAGTTGTTTTTAAATTAAATGTTCTGATATTCAGTTGGTAGAAAGTTCTAGGAGTCATTTAAAGCTAATGCTAACATGTTGCATGTAGCTAAAGAAAGCTAATCTGAGCCTCATTGGTGAAAACCTCCCTGATCTTTTTCTTGTTTTTGTTTTTCAGGGTTCGCTGGAAGACGGCGACCAGTCGGATCTGAGTCTGGACTCCAGACGCAGTCAGCTACTCACAGACAGAGACCCGGTTCTGTCAGAACTGTGCGACACCGCAGGTAAAAACAAGCGCACCCACAGCAACCCCACAAGGTGCAGCCGCAGACTCTGATTTATTATTAGCATGAAACTATTGGAAAGGAGAGAACAAATGATCAGTTATGTTTTAGTTCTATTAGTTCTTTACTATAGTAGTTCTTCGTCTTGCAGTTCTTTTCCTCAGTAGTTCTTTTTCTGGTTCAAGCTTTCCTGTCCATAGTAGAAAAAGAACTACTTCTACTTCTCATAGATAGTGATTCATTTCCTTGATAGTTCTTTTTTAAAGTTCTTCACATCAACAGAAAAAGTTTTTTCTTCTCTTCAGGTCATAAAAATTTTCATTTGAAAACAAACTGAATCTGAAAGAAGCTCAATATTATAGTTTCTTCAGAGATGAAAAGTTCATCGACATTCTAAGCACTTTAAATTACAATTGGGGATTTTTAATCTCTTTTCTTCTGCAATAAAACATTTAAATGTTTTTTTCCCTCATATTTAAAGCAGAATCGTCTTTGTCTCTGCAGCTCTGATGAGGGACATCTTCGTCCCTCGCCCGGCCGATCTGTCGCCGCCGCTCTCGCCCATGACCTGAGGCAGCTCCGGGGTCGGCGCCACCTCGGCCATCAGGGCGAGCGACACGGAGAGAGAGAAAAAGAGAGAGAGGTTGGCGCCGAGTCCGACTGCAGCAGCAACACAGCAACTTAAGCGCACACATCTAAACAAAACCACAAACCTTTACGCACAAGATGGTCGCCTCGCATGCGCCTCGCCGCCCGCTGAGCGACTCAACCGACCGGGACGCTTTCCTCTGCTGTGAACCCAGACGGCGCCGGTTTCCCAGGAAACGGCAGGCGGTGCCGGCTTTCTCCATCTGGAGCGCTCGGAAAACCAGATTTCTTAGTGCAGCTAAAATTCAGATGTATCACGTTTTTAATCGTTTCTGTTGTTTTAAAGATGAACAGCTTGCAAAAAACGGAAAATGTTTCGCTTGTGAAGCACTTCGACAATATTCTGCCGTTTTTATTTTCATAATTACACCAAAAACCTTTTAAAAAGCGAATATCAGTGGCAATTTTTACAACTTTTTCTACTTTTTGTTTTTAACTGTAGTTTGAGTTTATTTACCGTGTCAAATACGAGCCGCCGGCGGAACCACTCTGGCGGCGCTCGTTGTGATCGTCCCGGCGTCCCAGGCGGGCGGGGTTCATCCAACACTCCCTGCAAGCCAATGCGAAGCGATCAATTAAAGGAAACGTTTTAGTAATTGACTCCCAGACCTCCCAGTGATTGACCCGGCTGGAAAACTGGAACAGATTTTCTCCAGTTTTGAAATGGAAATCATGTATTTTACTAACCGCTTAATAAATAAAGCCATTACTAGCTGAATAAAAGTAGAGTTAGCATGTCTATGCTTGTGATTGAACACTAGTGTTTTACTTCTATTTTCTTCCTTTAAGTTTGAATCTTGTAACAAATTATACCTCAAAACAGTTTTGATGAATTAAGTCGATGTGAAACATTCAACGTGTCGCTTTCAGGAGACAAACAAACAAACTTTGAATAAAACTGCCGGGTTGTTTCTCACAGAGCTCTGTGCCTTTTCACCATGCAGTAAAACCTTGAGCCAGACTGTTACCTTCACTCTGATTCTGCTTCTCTGCACCGGGGCCAATCCATACAGAAAGAAATACTGTTTTCTGGAACCTTTTACTGTTTATCTGTATGTACTCTTGAAGTAAATAAAACTGTTTAAAACTAAAACTGCTGAGAGTTTGTCTGATCGAACAGAAAAGCACCAAAAACATCTGATCTGAACAGAAACCTCAGGGTTATTTCTGTGTTGCTCCTGCACGCCGCTGGCGTTGAGACTTCATCAGCGGTTGTTGGTTCTGATCACAGTGAACCTGAACCCGTCGTCTGTTTGGTCAAACTTCCTCCAGACTCGGTTAGTTGGTCATAAATTAACCAGAATCACATTTCAGCGTTACTCTGTGGGGTTTTCTGCTGCTGGTCACACACAGCGTCACATGAGCCGCAGCTAATCTGATCCACTCATGACAACAAATCAGCAGGTTAATGATTTATTGGAATAAATCATTTCCGATAAATGGTCGTTTCGTTGTGATGGATTCATGGAAACTGCAGAACTTCTGGCCTTAAAAGGGAGAAAAGATTAAAATTCTCCATTATTTAGTCGTATATTTATTTTATTTATTTGAAACCAGGAGTTTAAATACACACTTTATTTTATTTTTTTGTTGCCTGAAGTTAAGTTTTTATGTTTTATGTCAGGCAGAAATAGTCAAATTATATTTACTAAAACCAGAAAATGTTGAAGCTTTTAGATGTTTTAAAACTGGCTTCTAATTCAGATGTTTACATTCATCAGGTCAGAATCATATATATATATATATATATATATATATATATATATATATATATATATATATATATATATACACACACACACACATATACATATATATATATATATATATATATATATATATATATACACACACACATATATATATATATATATATACACATACATATATATATATATATATATATATATATATATATATATATATATATATATATATCAACCTTTAACCTGAATGGATGACGTCACCTCCTGCTCGCACATCCACAAACATTTTGTGACCTTCTCAACATTTCTGGACATTTCAGCTCCGTTTCTTCATCCATTTCTGCTCTGACAGGACGTGACGTCAACGCGTGCAGACGCGCCCGCAGCCGTTGCCAAACAAACGCTGGCGTAACTTTGAAACTCCTCTCTTTCATAAACAATGACTGGAAGTGTGGGTCAGGATCATTCACCGGACCGAACCGGACCGCCTCCATTCCCCAGTCATCGATCCACTTCCGCTTTTTGTGGCCGGAATTCAAACCAAAACAGGAAGTGGGAATCTAAACCCTGGTTTGCTCCAGTTCGCTGTTCAGACTCGCATTATTCACTTTATGTCTCTGTGGGACAAATTTGGACGTTTCTGCTCTTTTCTACCTAAAACGTTCAGGATCATTAAGATGTTTTTGGTGAATCCGGTTCTGATCCATGACCTCTGACCCCTCTGTAGATCTGAGCCAAGAGTTGGAAAGTTAATAGTTACATTTACTTTATTTTTATGGGGGGGAAAAAAGACAAAATAACTTTTAGGATTAGTTTTATGTTTGGGTAATGTTATGAATTATTGCTTCAGTAAAATGTACAGACTGGGAATAACTTCACGGAATGAAGAATGAACATGTTTCAACCAAAAACAAATGATCAGTTTATGTTGAAGTGAGACCTCTTGTTTATACACCAGCTTTGTTTTCCTGTTATCTAGAGGTCAGGTGAACAAATATGGAAACTATTCATACAATCACTGGAAGCACTTTATTCATATGGTCAGACTTAAATTCATTTAAAAGTTGATTTCCGTGTAAAACATTTTCATCAAAGATATTTATATTTTTTGTCTGTTATTTAGGTTATGCTAATTCCTGTTCTGTCCATTCATCTTTCAGGTGTTTATTACATTTAAACAAACCTTTCCTTGGAAATGTGGGCTTTTGACGTCACCAACGTTTAGCAATGCGATGCTATGTCATAGCTTTACTGATGTGCTAACTCCTTTCTGCAAAACTTAAAACAACATTAATCTTTTCTCCCATCAGATCCTCTGTGAAACATGAACTTCCGGTGGGTTTGTCTTTAGGGGACGCCGTTTGTGCGTCAGATTTACGGGACTACCAGAAACGCTCGGACACAAAGGTTCCGGTTGGTGTTAAAATGTTTAACGCGTTAAAATCTATCAAATATTAATCGACATTGACTGTTAAAGTCCCATATTTACTCATAGCTTATTGGTATTTTAATGATTAAAGCATTTTATAATTAGTCATCCTATTAAATATTTTTACTAGACAGTTAACCTTTTTAGTTTTACTTCAATAAGAATATAATAAAGTGATGCTACTTTACAGTATATTTTAGTTCCTTGCCTCTGACTGGGACATCATGTGTTGCTTATTGAAGAAAAAAAAAACCGATTTCACTCCTGTCATAATTTAACATTTTACAACCTGCCGCTTTAGGGTTGTTTTCACCTTAAAAAAAATCATTTTAAAGTGTATCTTTGGATTTACTCAGATTATCTTTAAACATTAGGATTAGAACAATCTGAACCATTTACACATAAAGTAAAACAACAAACCTATTGCCCCACTGACTGCTGTTCTGCTGAAACAGTTGCTTTGGTAACTTGAAATTTCAACATCTCACCAACTTAAAACATTTACATTTCTGGTCATGTGAAACCAAAATTTTCCTCTGAAAAAAGTCTGGATGTGAGCAGCAGTTGGCTCGACTCCACCGTGCAACACCTGATTCTCTGGTTCCTCTGACTGTTGGATGTGGCCAGCCTCTGAAACCGTCACATTTCCTGCAATAAATGGGTTTTTAAAAGTCTCGAAAGAGAACTGTAATGGTGCAACTGCCATCAGAAACCAGTGAAGCAAACCGCAGGGCAGTTTCGACGAACCTTCAGCAGGAGAAAGATCCGGCAAAACACAACCATATTTACATTTGAGCTTTTAAATTTAACTTCATCACTTTTCCAGGTGATCAAAGAGAAACGAGCCTCAAGTTCACAGCCGAAACTAATGACAAATCAGACCAACATAAACACCTCAACCATTTATTTCTTATATTAGGATTCTGTGCAATAACACAATGTACAAATAATCATCTGCAAGTACCAAAATACTTTTAACAGCTACACAAAATCAAACATTAAATACATTCAAGGTCTGTGAAGGCAAAAAATAAAAACAGGAAAGTGTCTGAAGCTTTCAGGTCATTTAAAGATTTTTTTTTTGCAAGTTAAGAAATAAAAAGCAAAACAAAAAAGGCCCGTTAGTCTGATTTAAAGAAAATTAATCTTACGTAGTAGATTTAAATGATATAATAAAAATATAGGTATTTACATTCTGCTGTCCACCGATTACATTTGATTCTCTAAATATATTTATTTTCTGTACAATTCATAAAACGCTTAAATTACTTTGATAAATCTGTGTTTAAAATCTGCACCGCCGTCAGATGGAGACGTGCAAAAGTCTCAGACAGGAAACGGGAAACACAGCCCCATCACTGAGGGGAGGGAAAAACGACGACGTCTCCAGAACCGAAAACACGCCAAACATTTACATAAATTAATGTTTTAACAGCTTAGAAACCGGCCAGGAGGGAAACGACGTCCAGCCCGAGCCTTACATTCATAAACACTCAATACATCAAGGATTCATTTAGAAAACTCTCCTCCTCAGCCAGAGCCGGCGGCGCACCGGGCGCCAAACAACACTGGGGGTTTTCCAAGTCAGCGTTTTCTCAACACGTGTGACTGACATGATCAATAACAGAAGCGTGTTATTGACTCGTCCGCCTCCAAGAACACGAGTCCCGTGTTCTGTGCGCCGACGGCTGGCCGATCGGATTTCGTCAGCTTTGTGTAAAAATCATTTCTGTTCTGATGCTGCGCAGCTGCAGCCAGTCAGGAAAAGTGCAGGTGGTGGAGGAATCAGCTGCTCCTCCTTCATCTTCGTCAGATGAAACGCTGAAGATTACCAGCTGACACAATCGCGTCTCCACAGGAGCGCCTTAGCGATCAAGTGTCTTTATCGTCCGACAGGCGGCGGATGTTCCCGTCGTTCAGCCGGTCTCTGGAGCGGGACGACTGGACCTCTTCGTAGGGCGGCGGGGGGTTCTCTGGGCTGTGGGCGGACAGCAGGGGCTGGCGGCTGCCGTCCGGCTGGCCGGTCGGAGCCACCGGGCAGAAGCCGGGTTCCTCCTGGGCCAGCAGGAGCTGGGTCGGTCCCGGGGCGGAGCAGGGAGGGAGGCGCTGCCCCCAGCTGCCGTACACCGCCTCTTCGTAGGACGGGAGAGACACGGAAAGGCCGTCCACCATCAGGTCCAGCTGGTCCGAGGAGCGACGGCTGCAGGGAGACGGGAAGAGGAACCTCACATTACTGAAAGGTCAGGAAATTAGTTTTTAATCAGAATCTAAGGTCAAGTAGTCGTCTGATACGGATTCATGCCAATGCTGGCTTCTCTACAGAAGCTGCAGACCATGGCAAAAAAATCAGAACTAATCAATAAATCGTGACCACGATCAGACGGTTTGCTCTGCAAACAATCGAATGTAGATCCAATTTAGTTCCACATATCGTCACTTTCATGTGGAAGTGGCACGAAAATGAAAATGTGAGATTCGGGTCGGTTCGCCTGATGGAAGCTGAGCTGATTTTATTGATACAGAACCAGTTGGGGACCACAGATCCAGTTCTCATTCAATTCAACCCGGTTTGGATTTTAAAACAGTTTCTGTGGATCAGATGCTGGATTGAACCGGTCGGTTTTCCTCTCCTTACCCGTGCGATCGGCAGGGATAGAGGCGGGACTTGACGATCAGGCAGGCAGTGGTGGTGAGCAGGAAGATGGACACGCCCACCGCGGTGGTGGCCATGCTGGGCATGTCGCCGTCGGACTTCATGTTGGACCCGTCTGTGGAGGAGAGACGAAAAAACGTTACCAAAAAAATAAATCACACCGATCACAGCTGGAAGAAACCAAAACCCCTGCAGAGTTGAAAAGGAAGAATCCTGGATGCAGAGAGAGAGAGAAAGAGGAGCAGCAAAAGCAAAGGATGAGGACCAGCAGAGTTTCCCAACAAGCGATTGTGTCATCAAGGACATGTTGCTGTGGAATATCGTCTCACAACTTACTGCAAAGATTTGGGATCAATAAAGTGTTTCTGAATTTAATTCTTCCGAACAAAACTTCAAAAATAAAAACTAGCAAAACATTAAATAAAAACACAGATTGGGTTTTTAAAGGTTTAATGTACGTCTTGCTGAGTTCACTCCACAGTTTTTGGTGTTTTGTTGAAATGGGGTTCCACAAGGCTAAGTGCTTGGATCCCTTTACCCCATAATAAAACTGGAGCCCATTTGGTTCAAATAATCCACTAATTTCTCAGATTATTAGCCATTATTACTCACTGCAGAGACAGGAATGTGCAGCTTCTGTTTAACTGTTTATGCATTTTATTATATCTGAGTAAACAGTGAACTTTACCCATTCATCAGCTACAAAGATCATTGTTTTTTCTGCAGGTTTCCATCAGTCTGACATCTTGAAGGAAATCTATCTTGGTTAATTTATGGTGGCTTTGCCCGCTTCCTCTTTGTGCGCTCTGACTTTGTCGCTTTGGGTTCGACTGAATGGCGACAGAGGAAGTTAGCACAGTTTGAAGACAGTGAAGGTTTTACTTCCTCAGCAACGAGTCAGAAAGTCTGTGAGCGGATCTGGTAAATGGGTCAAAAGATAACGGTGACAAAGTTGCTGCGTGTTGCAGCAAACCGTGGCTTTAAACCGGCTTTAATGAGTTTTCGGACTGAATCTGGACCAAAATACCAAAATACAGAAATTATTCTCCTGATTTTTACAGACAAAGAAACTAAAGTTTTTTCATTTATTTTAGGAAGGATAGAGAATGTGAGCAAATAAGGGAAGTGAAGTTGTGCAACTCCCCAATTATAAATGTTGGAAAAAACAGCAAACCCTCATAAAATGACTAACAGCTGTTAGAATCTGGGTCAGAAGCTCCAGTGAGTCAGTAGATCATAAACGGAGGAACGTCGCAGTCGGTCAGCGCTACGGGAAATGTTTACCCAATAACCTCTTCTCCAGAAATCGGGACGCAAAACACAATCCTGCTCATTTTTCTGTAAAATGTGCATCACGTTCATGAAGGTTCCTCTGAGTTTTGTGTAAATGGCAGAGGAACCTTCGTTGAGCTTCTTCCCCATTTCAGTCAGAGCCGCAGTAAAAGCATTCATCAGCAAAACCTGTTTTGTTCTGCTTTTAAAGTTCACAGAGAAGAAGCCCTTTAATTCATTCACTGAAACCATCGCAAACAGGAATTACGAAAACAATATCCACAAGATTCTTTCACTACTTTTGAACTGGAGGTTTTGACTGAAAGCTGCAGAAACCAGTAAGAAACCAAAGTGCATGTACACAAAGCTACCTGCTAACCTGCTAACCTGCATATGCAGTTCAACTGGGAACAAGTGACTGTTTTTAATCAGGTTGAATCCAACAGGTTTAATCGACACCAATATCTTAAAACAACATTAGCTTTGAAATAATATCATTGTTCTCTAATCGCCATTTAATGTTTGAAAACATGATCTGATCTCATATAATGTCCACCATAAAAGCAGCAGACATGTAAAGTTATTTTAAAGCTCAGCTTGATGCTTAAATCTGAATTTACGGCTCAAATCGGTGACATAAAGGCGCCTGTTTGTTGGACAAAATGATTTATGCAATTAAGCAGGAAGTGGACTACAGAGCAGGGCATTCTGGGTAAATACAACCAAAACAAACATGCTAGCCCAGCGCTAACGCCTCGTTAAAGACAACAGAGAAATCTTCCAGCCACTAAAATCTGACACTACTCCATTTTTGTTTTCATTTCTTCATCGGTATTTGTGTCATTTCCTTTGGTGGTTCTTGGTGCAGCGCCCCCACAGGCCAGGAGGGGAACAGCTTTTTCAATTAGTTTGGTTTGTTTGACTCAGTGCAGCGTGAAAGAGAATAACAGCAGCTAAAAATGTAACAATTTTTGTCCCAAATGAACCAAATCTTTGGGACTGTCAGGTGGGAAAACAGCCGCAGATTCATCATGATTATCTTTCTGAATAAATTCGTACCTTTCATGGGGATGCAGGAGGGGATGGGCGGGACCCACTTCCCCCGGTGACACCTGGAGCCGGGCTTCTTGTTGCCCAGGTGGTATCCGCTCTCGCAGAAGACCCGGATGACAGTCTTATAAGAAAACCCGCGGCATGGAGACGGGTCGCAGCGGAAACCTCCATGTTCTGGTACCAGAGGGTGAGAGCAGTTCAGCCGGCCTGCAGAGGTCAGAAACAGGACCACAGACAGGTGAGCGGGTTCTGGAGTGTTCTGGCCGACCTCCGATCTTTAAAACGCCCGATTCCAATCTGGACCGATTTTCTTTATTTTTATGACAAACACTGTCACTATAAAGTCATTATAAACCTTCAATTTTACATTTTTTAAGTCAAAATCATTGAATACCTGAAAACAAAAATGGCAAAGCAAAAGAGGCAGATTTTTAAAAAGCTTTGCAGAGAGAAAAAAGTAAAATTTGTTTGATATATTCCTAAATTTATTGATTTATCTGTGCATAGCTAACGATTATCTTCAGTATTTAGTCAAGAAATTTCCACGTTTCAACTGATAAAGAAAATCAGAACGATCGATCGGTCAAAAGCTGACGCATGCAAATGAAAAGTTTGTTGAAGAGTCGGGTCTTCAACAAAGTCACATAAACGTGTGATGTCATCGGCCCAAGGTGAGTCAGAAAAACAGTTTAGAATGATTGTTTCCATGAGGCCTGCAGACTCTGAGCCACAGGAATGGAGGTGAGGATGAAATAAACACATTTATGATAAGAAAAACCAGGCGGCAGGTTTTAAACCCCAAAACACAAACAGGTTTCACATTCTGATCAGAAAGAGTCTTCAGAATGAGTCAGAATCAGGCAATAGAAAGGTCAAAGGTGAAGAAAGTACCTGCAGAGAGGAGCGGGGAGGAGACCAAGAGGAGTCCACAGACGAGACAGATGGGTCCGATCGGCCATGAATACTGGACTGGCGCCGACATCAAACTTCCTGAGTTAGAGAAAAATCCCCGACTTATTTCAATATTTTCACACCAAGACATTCAGAGAATCAACACGAATATTTTTAAAGCTCAGACCAAAGAGGACATGTTGGTCTCTGGTTTCTGGGAAAAACCAGAGCAAGAGGTTTTCACAAGAACCGACAAACAAAAACACACACATGACGTCATATTAGCACTTTTCATCGACTTTCGTTCATTAGAACCGGCTTTTGGTCCCAAACGGTCCATCGGTCTTCAGAAGTCAGATATTGACCTCCATTCATTTAGTAATTTCATTTATGCCTAAAAACGGCTCTAAATCTAACCCATAAATTTAAAAAAACAGGTTTTTATGCATTATTTCACTAATAAAATGCTTACAACGTCCTAAAAACTAACAATTACGCCTTTATGCACAGAGCTGCGTTAGCGCTAGCTACCGTAGAAACTAACATGTTTTCATCGACATTAACTCTTTAAAGAACCCGAGTTACAACAAAACTTAATTTCCCTTTGGGATCAAAGTGTTTTTAAAGTTGAATCTTTGCTCCTGGGGGTTCAGCCAATCAGCGCCAAGGAAAACAAAACGCGAACCATCAGAGCATCAACCGGCATCATGCTGGTTATTCTGGCTGCCCAGGCTGCGCTTCCTGTAAATGTGCAGAGCAAACAACAAAATTGTGCCGCGTAAACAGGAACCTGGTTGCCATGGTGATTCCCAGGGGGCGGGGCTAAGCCCTCCAAGCTTTAAGGGCTCAAAGCACAAACCTCAACATGACCCACTTTAGCCAGGAGAGGCAGAAGGTTCTGCTGGTCCCACATCTGAAGGTCTGACATGTTTGTAGTGTTTTATCTGCAGCAGATTAAAAACGGCAGCAGCGCGTTTTACTCTGCTTGCTGCATGACTCGGCAGAAACGCTTCAAACGGAGGTAAAAGTATCACAATGACGACGTTTGGGAACACGAATGGAAAAAAAGTTTATTTCTCCAAGTAGAAGATATTTAAGAAGTTTTATTAAAAATGCACAATATATATTTTTTGTACAGTTTTGACTTAATTGCTGCCCTGAATGTGTCATTTCAGCAAAGTGCCTGTTAATTAACAATTAATTAATTGATCATTTCAATTAATTGTTTCAGTCGTAATTTTGTCATTTCTCTACAAGAGAAAAAATGATTTGAATTGGAAATTATTTCAACAAACGGTTAAAATTTTTTATTTCAACACGACCGTTTTCAGATCAACAGTTTCTCTATTTTTCCATTTGTACAGTTACTGTTGACCTTTGCACCTCATCAGCCGCTCACTGGACCCGAGTTACGTTCAAAATCAGCAAATAAAAAAATGAAATGTTTCTGCAGAACAGAGAAAATCAACCCTGATCAATTTCCCCTTTTATTTCAGTTAAATAGATGCAAAATGATTCCAAAGAACCACTTTAAGCTTCTGCAGTAAAGCTTTGACATGTTCAACATGAAACCCAGCCTCAGTGCAACCTTTCAGCCGACTCAAAGTGAAACCCCTCACCTGAGAGTGTTTACAGTTTCGACAGAGCCCATATTGACCCGACACTCATCTGGAAAACATGCAGGGCCCCTGAGGCGCCGGTTTCTGCCCCTCTCTCCTTCCTTCCCAGACAAACGCGGCCTGTGAAGCGCCAGACCTCCGCCGGCATCAAACCAAATGCCACAGTGTGTGAAAATGTGGGTGTGTGGGAGTGTTTTCGCCGCCTTCGGTGTGTGTGTTGGGAGCTTTCATGTCAACGGGGATGCCAGTCATCCCGAGAGCAGCGGCGGGGAGGGCCCGGCTCCACCGCAGCACGAACACGCCGACACCTCCGTCTGATGCCACCGCGACCTGCGTGGGCGCGCCGCGCCTTAGTCAGCGCCGATATTAGGCCTGCTGCCGTCACAACCAGGCAGGCTGCAGAATTTAAGCCGCTGATCAAACATTCAAAATGAGAAAAATAGCATCAAATTTGTTTCAGCTGCAGAAAAACTGTAAGAGAAAATAATTTTCCTCGTGTCGAATTCAGAATAAAGAACAAAATCTGCGTTGAGTCATAAATTCCCTGCAGCCATAAACCAGATGAGCATCAGCTGCTGCTGCGCCGATTCACGTGATCAGTTATTCTAATGATTAATTCATTGCTCTATCAATTAGTTGGATGAAAAAAGATTATTAAAGAACTGCAGGTTCATTTAACAACTAAAGTTGATTTTTTTTTACAAAATTACATTAAAATATGCAAATAAGCTCATTTTGAAACCATTTTATTGCCTAAAATGCATTTATTTAATGAACGATGATCATTTGCAGCAAAGGATGCATCTGCAGCTAAAAAAATAATGTTTACTGATCTGTTGATTTTCAAAAATAATAATAATTTGATAATAAAATGTGCTTAATATGAGGGTTTTTTACTGAGTTGAACCAAATGAAGGTAAAACTGCAACCTGAGGAGTTCTGCAAACTACATTTTAACAGACAAAGAAGGTTTTTCTCATCTTAAATGCACATTGGTTTTATTTTTTTAGAGTCTGTACTCCAGCTAACGATTAATCAATTACTAAATTAGTTGACAATTATTTGAATAACCGATTAATCATTTCAACCCTCATTTTCTTTCATCTGTAAACCAGAATCTGGTCCTGAAGTTGTGCAACTTTTTATTGAAAGTTTCCAGCATTCTGATGTTTCCTCCTGTAGGGTTTTCGCTCCGGCCGCTCTGCTGCAAACATTTCCCAGCAGCAGGTTATGGAAACATGCAACACACGTCTTCAGGCTGGATGAGGAGCATCGTTCGCCTTTTCTAGGAAAAAAAACTTCCGGGACACAGGAAGTGATGCGCTTTGTTTCCAGCCACAACATTCGACTCAACTGGCACAAACAGGAAGACGAGGCGAAGCGTGAGCGACGCTGCTGCAGACAAGAGGAGGAGCTGGGAGGGGAAAACCCTGAGCAGGAAGAAGCTGCAGGTTGGACGGCAGAGTCACGCCGGCTCACATCTAACAAACCGCCTTTATATTAAACCTGCAGTTTGTAACAGCTGTAAATATATTTCTTTTATGACATTTTGTTGAAGATTGATCTCCTGCACCTCCTCCAGGAGCTGCTATTGCCTGAAGAAATGAAACAAAAACATTCAGAGCCAGGAGGGGGTTAGCGCTGTCAATCATCCTGATGTACTCTCTTAAAAATGTGCTAATGGTGGAAAAATGACTTTTATTTTAAGGAAAACTATTTATTCCGCCGTCAACAGTGGCTATGCTAAGCATTGATGACATGCTATTCTAGCTGCAGCGTAGCAGAGAGCAAAAGGAATCTGGAGGTTGAGCAGCACAATACTAGATTGTGATTGACAGCGCTATAACCTGCCTTGTAGCTCTGATTGGCTGGTTGGCAGATCACCTTGAAATTGATCAGCTGAATTACTAATATGCAACAGTTTAGATCCGTCGCTGCCATGATTTTTAATGACTTTTTAACTTCACTTCTGATTAAATAGAAACTCTGCAACAGCTTAGTTATCAGTTTTTAGAAGTCTGCAGAAAATAGAGATTTGTGTGTATTTGTAATGAAAACGCTGCAGTCGGGTTGATCACTAGCTGCAGCAGGAGGCTGGATGAGTTCACAGCATCTCCAGGTGAAGGAAACCCCGGCAGCGAGGAGCGATGGAGCCCCACGGCTCCACATTCAGCTCCACATTCAGCTCCACATTCAGCTCTCTGGGATGCAGGACGCTTTGTTTTTACGCTCATATGTGCAGTCAGCTGTGAGAGAAGCCATTCAGCATGCTTCTGCACACAGAGACAATGCTGACAGTGCATAACGGGATGGGCTTTCACCACATCTCTGCTCTCTGACACAGATCGGACCAGAGCAGAACGACTACATCAAAATAACCTCAAAACACCAGCAGGTGAAGCTCAAAACTGCTGTGTTCTGGGTGGAAGCCGAATCCAAACCGATTTTCTCCTGAACTTTGACCCCTCCATCATGGAGGGGTCACCAGAAAACACGAAATCGGCATTTTTATCCAAAAAACGCTTCTGCAACATCAGAGTTTCACTTCTGCTCCTAAAGTTTCGTTTTAACCATTAAGAATTTCGCATCAGGTTTTCAGCTTCCAATAGAGCCTGTTTCTGTTGTAAATGTATTTTCTATTTAAATAATGTGAGCAGGGCCGGACTCAGCAGGATCTGGGCCCCTGGGCTGAAGCCAGTTTGGTGCCCAAAACATACACCAAACTGTATGTTTAAAGTCATTATATCCACAAAATACTTCATTTTTGTTGTTGTTTTTAAAGCAATAGAGGATGGTAACATTTTACTAATTAATTTAAAGTTTACTTCTTTGCAACAATTTATTAAAATGTGCATGTCATTTGGATGGAAACATAGCTATTGTTATGCAGACACGTCACATGTACATAAAACTACTTTTTCTGAATTTATCCTTTAACATTTCTAAAATGCATCTCTCCAAAAACAACAAGAAAAACATTAAATCCCGTCATAAGTTACCAATATTGTGGCGATAAACAAAACATCCTTTAGCATGCTAAAAGGGATAACCCATTCAAATGTCTGCCTAGCTTATTAATCAATTATAATCAGCATTTATAAAATATGGACATGTGAAATATTGGAATTAACGCATATTGGTCGATTTCAGTTGTTTATGTCCAATGAGTAAAACATCCAATGGTTTCTTCCATCATCTTTTTTGTTGTTGTTCAGTGTCGAAAGGATAGAAAAATACACATAATGTCCTGAAATATTTACAGGTTTTGGGGCCAAAGTTTCACCTCGGTGCATGTCTGAGGGTTGGGCACCAAACCGCGTCCTGCTGAGCGGCCCTGGCCCGCGCTGGCCTCGCACCGCGCCTGTCCGTCGGTTTAGGTTCCAGATACATTTCACTATAACCAATGAAACATCCTCCTGATCAACAGCAGTGAAAGGCTCTGAATCCACCCTTTAACCAGTTGCACCAGTTGCACCGGTTTGCCCAGTTTCAGCAGGTAACTGGAACCAGTAAAAGCTCCGTTTGGTTTCAGCGGATAAATGAACTGAAACGGTTCAGGCAGGAGAGCAGAAGCTCCGCGCAAAACCCCCCGTGGCTCATTTCATGAAAAGGTGTTTCGTCTCAACGCGGTGAAACGCCTCACCTGTTGGGCGGCAGCAGGCGGAGTTCGGTTCGGCGGACTTCCGGTTCGGCGGACTCCCGGTTCGGCTCGGCGGACTCCCGGCTCGGTTCCAGGCTCTGAACGGGGACGAGGCGCTCGGAGCTCCGCGGTCAGCTGACGGTCTCCGCTCCTGCTCAGCAACAAGTGAGATTTTTTCTGCTTGGACTCTTTTATGAGCGGAGCTTCGCTGCGACACCGCGGCCTCTCATTGGCTGCCGGCGGCTAAGCCCCGCCCACCGGCGCGGCGCCGTTACTCTCTGGAATGTCTTCGCCACAAACAGACCCAACATGAGAGAGAAAGGGAACTGCGGCCAGATAACGCCTTTAAAAATAAGTATCTAAGTTGAGCGCAGCCACTCAGACTTTCTGCTGCTGACTATTAGCCAAACTGACTATTAGCCATACGGACTTTTAGCCAAACTTGACTTTTAGCCAAACTGACTATTAGCCATACGGACTTTTAGCCAAACTTGACTTTTAGCCAAACTGACTTTTAGCCAATCTGACTATTAGCCAAACTTGACTTTTAGCCAAACTTGACTTTTAGCCAAACTGACTTTTAGCCAAACTGACTATTAGCCAAACTTGACTTTTAGCCAAACTTGACTTTTAGCCATACGGACTTTTAGCCAAACTGACTTTTAGCCATACGGACTTTTAGCCAAACTGACTTTTAGCCAAACTGACTTTTAGCCAAACTTGACTTTTAGCCAAACTTGACTTTTAGCCAAACTGACTTCTAGAGCCGAACTCAGACGATCAAAGAACCTGAAAGGTATTTGGTCAAAACTGCAAAATAAACTGAACGAAATCTTGAGATCCAGTGAGCTAAAGCTGAAAATTAGCCTTCACATTCATGAACTGATTCTTTACGGAACAAATCCATGAGTGAACTGATCCATGGATGAACCGGTTCCTGACTGAACTGATCCATAGATGAACCGGTTCCTGACTGAACTGATCCATAAATTTGCACTACAAACTACTTGGTTGGATTTTGAGTTTTTGCAGTGTACCGGCCTCTCATCAGGTTGGTTCCTCTTTTAGTGGCTCTGTGTGAAATTCTCACATTAAATCCCAATAAATTCATTAAAAACCAGGTGGGCATTAAGATCAGGTGGGTTGATCCAGAAACGGACCAGAACCAGAACATTTTACATTCTGCTTTAGCTGTAGCAAAATGGTTTGATGTGGATCTTCTGGTTACCAGAACCACAAACGCCCAGATGCCCTGCAGTAAAGAACAGCTCAACTTCTCAGTAAAGAGGGAGGCGCTCCGATCTGTCCCCCTGCCAATTGCTACAACTGCTGCAGCAGGTGCAGCAGGTGCAGCAGCAGCATCCACCGGAAGGCAGAAGCGCTGAAAATACCCACCTGTGCTGACTCTGTTGCCCGTCGGTTCGGCGTGGAAACTGATTTTTTTTCTGGGTTTCCACTGAAAGTTGCGTCAGAAACCGACAGGTTCGACTGCGACCTCAGAACTGGAGAGAACGTCTCCAATCCTCAGGGGAAATGAAACAACCCCGATTTTCATTCAACGTTTTAATAAACCTTGAAGTACGAAAGAGAAAAATAACATTTCAGAAAATCCATTTAAAAAGTTTTACAAATCAACTCTGATCAGGGCTGCAGCCGATTACTCTGGTAATCAGATCAACTGAAGATTAATCGATTAAATTTGGCACATTCTGAAAAACTTTCATTTGACCACGAAGTTAAACTAATCTATACAATAATAGAAATGCACTGAAAGATGCAAATGAAAACTGAATTCTGCTTTAAATAAAGACATTTTATTTCTGAAAATGCAATAAAGAAATTCTAAAACAAATCTGTAGTTTTGTATTTTCTGCAGAATGTGAACCAGGTGAAGCTACAGAAGTTCTGGATAAAGTATATTTACAGACAAACGTTTTTTCTTTCTTAAATATAAAGTGAAAAAAAAAGTTTTTTTACAGTTCTGGCTTAATTACTGAACTGAATGTTTTTGATGCAAATGGCCTGTTTAATTACTAAATTAGCTGATCATTATCTCAAACGATTAATCGTTTCAGCCTTAATCATGTTTCATGAAATTTTGCTTTTCTGACAAAATAAAGTGAAAACTGATTTCTACAAAACAATGACAAATAAATGAAAATATGTGGCATAAGTGACTTGCAGGCTGCAGAGCAGCACAAACATAATCAGCTCTAATAAAACATTTAAAACGCAACATTAACACATTATTTCCCAAAATGAACGAATGCAGGTTTTTAACTGCAGACATAAACTGGATTCAGTGGTTTTGTGATTTGATGTCGATGAAACTGAACGTTTTCCTCCAGACTTCCTGATTCTGTCATCACTTCCTCTTCGGGCTCCAGGGGTGCACAAAGTGCGGCGCGGGGCCCATTTGTGACCCTTAGCAGGGATTCAAGTTTAGGCCTCAACACAGACATTCTGGAAGCTGTCAAAAAAAAACATCTTCACATGGAAAATGTTGGTGCAGCACAAAGTTTTCTTCTATAATCAGCACAAATCTGATTTCTGTTCCTCTGATGTGGCAAAGTTCAGCAACACTGAGACGTAAAGTCAGATCCATTCACTAAAACCTGAAGACGACTTCCTGATAAAATACCCGACTGTTGGTTGTTCCACGACAACATTCAGGGTTGAATTTAATGCTGATGAGGTAAAAATAAAAACATTAATTTGGACCAAACTGCCGGTGATCGATCAAAAACCCATTGAAGTGATCAGCAGGCAGCGCCTTGAACCTGCACGACTGAAGAGACGCCGTGAAGGAAGCGGCTCATTGACGGCAACGTCACTGCAACCACACGTGGAAAACCACATTTTCAGAAAATTTCTCCTCAGAACAAAGACAACTTTTTCCTAAACGAAGCTGCTGTGTCTAAAAACTGATTAATGACGTCAGAGGAACCACCAGCTGAGACAAAAGACTCCTTCAAAGTTTCTGCAGTTTTTATAAATCATGTAAAATAAACTGGTTGTTTCCAACATCAACTATTAAAAGAGAACTTCACTGGATTTAAGAGTCAACATGAAGCTATGAAATGCGTTTTGTGATGCATTTCTGTCTGCAGAAAGCCTGCAGACAGAAATGCAGTTTTTGTCTGTTTGAAGGGACAAGGAAGCTGCATTAGGAATCGAAACGAATCATCTCACAGGAATGTCGACTTTATCGTCTGCACTCTTCACTTCCAGCCTGGAGGAAAATATATGCATATTTTAAAAGTTTTCTTTGTGTCTTTTAGCACCTTTACTGTTGATAAATTTACTGACTTTCATGTGGAAATGTGAATATTTACTAAAGACATTAACTTGAATTTAATGACAAACCTTCACTTCCTTTTCAAAGGGCCTATTTCAAACACAATGCCACCAGCTGATAGCAGCGTCTCGTGCCTTGTAAGCATTTGTATTTAAAATGATTCCGTTTTATTGTCCCGGTGGTTTTTTAGCATAATTTATTTCTGTTTCTGGTAGAGGAAACAATGAAGACTTTAAACTTAAAGCCAGTTCTGCTTTTTTCCAGGTTCACATGAGGCCGATCAATCAAAAACCTGCATTAACTTCAGAGTGAGGACTCCTGTTTGTAGTCTCACAGGCAATGCTGCAAAATATGCAAAGAAACGCCGACATTCAGAACGTTTTATTCACCTTTCAATAATTATGACATCTGTTTAGCATAAATGCTGCTTCATACCTTCTGATTTTAGTAGGCTGGGGTTTTTTGTCAAATATTTCCATTTCGCGCTGCTATGCTACATTAAGCTGGCTACGCTATGCTAGTTTTAGGAGCTAGGCGACTTCATGAATCAGAAAGATGAGCATCACAAATAATATTTCCCACTTTGTTACAGTTTTGTGTTTTTAAGTTTGATGTTTACTTTGAAATTATTAAGTTGTGGCAGGTTAGCTAACACAGCTATTAGCTAAGCTAACACAGCTATTAGCTAAGCTAACACAGCGGTATCTGGTTAAATGAGCTGAACACCTGCTCTACTGATGATCTGCCAGAGTTGGAGTTTAGGTTGAATTTTGCATTTTAACTGAATAAAAACACCAAATTCCACATCACATCTACATGTCATGTTTGTCAAAGTCAAGCTAGCATAACTGACCTACTTCCGCACTATTTTTTTAAATTAAAACTTTTCCTGGTCTTGTTATTGAATTGTCCTAATCTTGACAGTTTTTCTTTTATACATCAGGCGTACAATTAAGATTTTGCGAGTTATATTGTTTTTGGTTTTAAGTGTAATAAGTAAAAAGGGCTTCCTGCCCTCCTGTGCCTGTGACATCACGCTGCAGCAGATCCACAGTTGTTTTTGTTTGCAACAAACACAGGAATCGCCTAATCAATACAGCGGATTGAGTGATCATGGTGCTAAGCTGGTCCTCTGGATGTGGAAAACCAAACAGTTTATTTTATTTACAGTCCAGGCACCAAATCATAAACCTGCAGACCTCTGAGGACGTCTGACCCACCGGCTGCTGGTTGAGGGCATTTAATGGAGAAAAAGTCTCGTTCAGAAACAAAACGGCTCAATTTCATCTGTCGTTTGTTAGTAGCAGGAGACATAAAAAAAACATCACAAGAGATCAAGAAGTTTCAGTTTTTTAGTTCATTTTCTACAGTGAAAAAATTAAATATATTTTAAAAAAATCAAACAAAGTAAAGCCTATTGTTCTAAAAAATGCTACAGTTATTAAAACAAAGAAATAAAATTTGACCTGGTGTTATGGGACTGTGTGCTGATTGGTTAATGCTCCGTAGCGTCTCTTCTAAAGGGTTTAGTGTTGCAGGAACGAGCTGCAGCAGCTGCAGCTCCTGTGCAGCTGCAGCTCCTGTGCAGCTGCAGCTCCTGTGCAGCTCATCGCCAGTGCTCGATACGTTTCACTCTGTACACTGAAAAAACTCAAAACCTCACCAAGTCTTTCTGGAGAGTTTCTAGAGAAAATATCTTATTACACTTGAAATAAGAGAAAACAACTTTTAAGCAACTTTACAGCAAAATACGGGAGCTTGTGCATCACTTAGCGCTCCCTTTAAAGATGGCTAATAAATAGCTCATAAATATGTTATTCATTCATCTATAAACACTTAAATCATCAATAACTGTTGTATTAAGAATGAGGAGACATTAAGCCAAAAATACATTTGCAAATGCTTATTGTTCTTACAAAATACTCTGAAATATTCAGTACAACAAGTCTAGATAATAATTAATGCATAATCAACAGTTATTAACGATTTATAAAGAGCTTAAATGAATTAATGACATAGCTATGAATTACTGGCCTTATTGTAAAGTGGGATTGGCATTTATTTAACTTAATAATTTCTTCATATTTATGAAAATGTACCAATTCTACTGGGAGATTATTTCATAGAGTTAGTTTGTCTCATTTCAAATGTATTGAAATATTTGCGCTTCAAACTACGCAAAAATATTTGGTAAGATTTTGTGCTTTTGCATCGTAATAAACAAAATACAACAATCACAAAAACAGAGACGGTAAATTATCAACGCTTTCTCTATGTTCACCGTTTTTACACAGGAATATTAGGAAATAAGTGGAAGAAACAAAAGTCCTCTGCTACCATGACTCCAGTGTTTACATGTTCACTTAGTGTGTTTTTGCTCGTTTACAACAGGAAGCGAGGATAATTATGGCTACAAAATACAGTCCGAGTCCCAAGGTCGCCGCTGTCGGTGGGAAGTTCAGGGGTCCAGAGGTCGGGATCAGAGTCTGTAGTGGAAACGTTTGCAGATTGTCAGTAAGAGATTTAAAAAGTTACTTCGACCGTCACCGACTCCTTCAAACCCGGCTGTACGCCAAACAAAACAAAACAAAAAAAACAGAAAGAAAAAAGAGCCATTTACTGCGTCCAGAAACACACGGTATCGCACTCATTCACCCACGCATTCGTCGTTATTGCCTCTGATTCGGGGAGCGCGCTCCCCACAGTTCAGTGACTCACGCCGGACGAGGAGAATCCTCCCGCACAGCCTGGGCTCCCGGTGCGGGAGGATTCTGATCCGCCAGAGTCGCCTTCACAGCCCCGGAGGTGTGGAGCGCCGCGCTTCATCTCATCCTGTTCTGCCGCATCAGGGGGACGATGCAGGACGGCGGGCCGGCCTTGGACAGGAACTGGTGCTTCAGGAGCTCGCTGGCCGTCGCCCTCTGGGCCGGCTCACGCACCAGCATCCGGTCCAGGAAGCCTTTGAGGAGAGGGGACACCTGCAGAGAACATAGTTTATTTTATAGGACGATAATTATGTCTTTATGTATATTCATAGAATAGATGTCTGAATAACCGATTAATCATCAGAATAACTGTTTAGTTTTCAGAATAAATGCAAGATTAATGGATAACTAAAATAATTGCTACTTGCAGCTCTATTTGAAATGTTCTGCTCTGCTATATTTCCCAGTCAGCTGTTTTTGTGCCGTTTCACAGCTCAGTAGAAATTAATAGAAATGAGGAAATGAAGAAGTTGATAAGAACCTGAACCACACAGATTATAAACCCATTCGCTGAACCGAAGGTGTCAGTTTTGTTTTCACTAAATATATCTGGCACATTTCAAAGTAAAAATACAAATATAGACATCTTGATTCTGATAACCAAAACTTCGTCTTAAAGAAACATTTGGACCGATCGCTGCAACGAAACGGGCCTTATGTTCCAAAGACTTCTGCTTCTTTCTGATTTACTCTAATTTTAAAAGCATCAGTGAGAGTGAATAACAGTTCAGATTACTCAACTCTTTTCCCATCTTGTGTCTCAACTCTTACAACATTATAAAGAAACATTTTGGCCTTGAAGACGACGTGGGGAAACAACCACGTTTCACATTCCTCACAAAGGAACAAAGATTTCACATCCTGGTTCTGATTGGTCTGTTTCAGCAGTTTCACCTTGTGCAGGTTCTTCAGTTTGGGCGGCTGGTTGTCTCGAATCATCTTCATGGCTTTGAGCGGCGGCTCGTTGAAGTACGGCGGCTCGCCGTCCACCATCTCTATCACCATGATGCCCAGAGACCAGATGTCGACCTGCAAACGGCCAGCAGAAAAACAACAGAAAAGACAATTAATGTCACCGAAAGAGAAGAAGAAAACACAGGAAACATTTGTTTTCACCTGCATGTTTCATGTACAATGACTTTGTGAAAACATTACAATTTATGAGTCATTTTCACCTCTGGTCCGTACGGCAGCCTGGATATGAGCTCTGGTGCCATCCAGTATGGCGTTCCGACCAGAGATTTCCTCCGCTGGACTTCCTTAGAAACCTGAGCGCAGAAGCCAAAGTCTGACAGCTTCACCTGGAGACGGAAATACAAACACAGTGACGTTAAGACCGTTCATGACAAGGACGATAGGCAGCATTCACACCAATTAATTGCTTATTGCACCAGGCTCTGAATCCATATGCGGACGCCAAGCGGACCAGAGACCGCTCTAAAAGCAGGAAGTGGACTACAACACAGGGCATTCTGGGTAAATACAACCAAAACAAACGCAAAGGCCAAAAGGTTAAAATTAAAATTTCTGGTGGGACACAAAGTCATTAAACAAAAATTGCAAAATAAAAAACATTTTCCAAATCGTTTGGATTATCAGCCATTTTCTGCTTTTTTGTCCAAATTCTTTAGCATTCTTGACTAGAGGTCAGGGGCCGCTGACCCCTGGTTCAGCAATAGCAGGAGAAATGGCTTGTCACCTTTAACCAAAGACAAAAACGGAATCCATCAACTGCTGAAATCTGATGCTACTCCATCTTTGTTTACATTTGGTGAAGAAGGAAGTCGCACTGTCTCTTCAGAGGTTTTTGTGTTGTTTTCTTCAGTCGTTCCTGGTGTAGCGCCCCCCACAGTTCAGGAGGGGAACAGGTTTTCCGAAATGTTGGGCACAGTGCAGTGTGACAGAAACACAGCAGCTGAAAGTGTAACTAATACACTGCAAATCATTTTGGTCCAGGTTTTGGTGCAAATGTCATAGCATATTTGAAATAAGACAAAACTAACTTACAACCAACTTTTCTGCAGGATACCAGAGTTTGTATTTGGTCAATAATTTCTTAATATTCCCATAAGTAAAACAATCTGTCAGTGGAACCAGAGCTGTAAATTAGTTGCATGTTATTCCAGGACATTTGCACTATAAACTAGACTTAAATACCTCCCAAGGTTTAGTTTTCTGCAGTTTGTTTCAACATTGGTCCCAAATAAAATTGAGCCTACTGTTGCTTTTGGGTTTGAAAGCAACCTACAGATTAGAAAACTAATTTTAGGTGTTTTAATCCAAAACAAAGTGGTGCTTTTGATTGAGCTGTTTGAATATCTGAGACATAACTTTGCAGCCTCCTGCGGTGGACAGATGTGAACCCACCTTTCTCTTGCTCAGAAGGTTTATGCCTGGCTGAGTAACGTTGAGAAGCTGATTGTGATGCCGACCACAGAGCTCAAACCCACAGAGGGAAATGAAACAGGCAGGTTCAGAGAAGTGACTGTCATTTACACAAACACATTCATACAGCAAATATGCAACATGACCTCAGCAAATGCCACACAGCACCTGCTATAATTATATTTAAATGAACAGCGCAGTAATTTAAGGCCAGATGATGATAAGAGAATTAAATAAAAACAACAAGCCGGTTCATGAGGAAGGTGAGACACACGCCCATCCTTCTGCCGAGAAACGCTTCAGGGTCGGTTGGGTCCGTTTCCCCTGCAAGGTCAAACCACAAAGGCCCTCACACCCAAACACCAAAACTCTGCAGCCTGCTCTCAGAGCTGCAAACCAAAACCATGGATTCCTGCAAGCAAATCATCTCCATTTGGTTAAAAAAAAAAGGTGAAATTTGCATCCAAACATTTTGCACATGTCCAAAAATAAAGGCTGAAAGTGTGAAAATACAGAGAACCGAGCTGGAGCCACACAGCTGCAGAGTTCATCATCAAATCAAGAAAAACGACACAGGACATATTTCACCTTTAAAATAACGAGTCCAATTAAACCTGTCGTGATAAATTTTGTTGGACGATAAATTGTTCCAGAAGTTATTGCGATAAACGATAATATTGTTGGTTGAGACCAAAACAATAGACTGAAACTTTTATCATCCAGTTAGAAAAGAAGGAAAAGAGAGAACCAATAAATAATGGAAATGATTTTAATTTATCATGCAATTAACTGATTTATTGCTTATTGCGACAGATGTGAGTGTAATGTTAAGATGGTAAATCAGTGAACGATTATTTATATAATCGATTAATCATGATTAATCGTTTCAGGCCTAAGGTTTGGTTTACCTTCATAAATCTGTAAAGTCATTTTCTAGTAAAATATCCCACTACAACTGGAGCGCTCTTTCATTTTTGAAACGTTTTTATTGACCGCAGTCTGTTAACTATTAGAACATGACTCACGTTTTATCGTCTCAGGCGTGGGAAACATTTGCTACGACACAAACAAACCCCTTCTCCTCCAGAGATTAAAACAGAGGCAACGCCTGGGTTGTCAGTATGATCTCTGAATTATTAGCAGCAGATGATGAAACAGATTGTGGGTAACTGTGAGTTTGTTTTATCTTCTGGCTTGAAACCAAAGAGACAAAACGACGCCTGCTGCAGCAGCTGGAGTCCAGAACTCTGGGTGAAACAAACGAAGACGCCAAACCACATACAAAAGTCAGCTTCCACTGTGGTTTACACATTAGCTCATCTAAACTCAAAATGTGTGACTTTGTAGATTGTTGATTGTCATGAGCATAAGAGGGTCAGGCTTTACTCGAAACTAGCAACTCAAAGCACTTTCCTCTGCTTTGGTGCAACTGAAAAGGAAGAGCGAGACGCAGCGGTTTGTGGATAAATAAAGCCAGTTTGTCCATGTTTAGACTCCAGCTAATGGCCATTTTATCAATTGATTATTCTGATGATTAACTGCATTAAAAATGGCCAAATTCTGCAGATTTTCTTTTGACTTTAGTGAGCGCTTGATCATTTGTAGCAAACAACGCATCTGGAGACGTGAAAAGCTCAGCCCTCTTTAGACTGAACATCAATCCAGTGACCAGGTGATAATTTCTCCATAAAAATTTATTGAGTAGCTAAAGATGCTCAAGTTTAATATTAATATAAAAAATTGTGACTTATATAATAATTGTCTTTTGGTCTCTTTCATCTCAACGTAAACATCTATGTTGACACGATGCATGTTAATGTTTACATCTGGAAATTTTGCGGATGAACATTCAGACGGTTCCAGTTTTATGTTTAATGCTTGGTGTTTATTTTGCAATAATAAGTAATCATTGTGGTAAATTAGCTACTGCTGCTATTAGCTAAGCTAACACATTGCTCTACTGATGATCTGCCACAGTTGGTGTGTTTGTTGCATTTTTTTTTTAACTCAACCGAAACAACAATTCTGCAGCACATCTACATGTTAAGAATGTCAAAGTCAAGCTAGCACGGCTAGCTCTTCTTCACTATTTTTCTCTTAAAACTTTTTCCTGGCCTTTTTATCTAGTGTTGTAAACAATTAGCATCAAAGCATTGCGTCCCTTATTCTTTCATAGATGATGCTTACGTTTAAGACTTAGCTTAGTCTTGAGTTGACAACTTCACAGCTAAAACAATGCTAGCAGTATTTGTGGATCTTGCATGCATGACATCACGCTGCAATGTGTCGATTTTAGTCACATAATTGTTGCCACAGTGTTCAACACATTTGAAAAAGTAACAACATATAGTCTGGAAATTACGATAAATAAATGGCTGATCTCAGTAATAACAGACGTTTCTGATTCAACCTTAGAGATATGATCAAAAACAAATCGTTTACTTGGTTTTATAAAATATATAAAAACTAATAAATCACAGTTATGTATAAACTTTAATTATGATGCATACAGATGGCAAAGCTCAGGTTTTACCCAATGAAAGACAGACGGCCATAACAATGTGCAAGTGCAGAATCTGACACACAGAGTGACTGTATTGCTCTCTTTCTGTTTATTACTCACCTGAGCTAACATTGCATCGTGTAATAAACTGTTCTGCTGACTGTGACACCAAGCAAACTGAGGCACTTCTCACTTCGGAGTTGCTATGCAACCAGGCTGGTTTCATTTTCTGCAGAAAGCAGAAACCTGCGTGTCACCACGCAGGAAATGATCTGGTAGCTGCTGCAGCTCAGCAACAATACCAAAAACTAGAAAATAGAAATTAGGCCACTCTTAACTCCAGACTGTTTTTATTTACATCTCAACCAAAGTTCCTTTTTTTTAAAGAAGTGGTTAACTTATTGCTCTTAACTGCAATAAAAACTAGAATTTAAAAAGTAAAAAAGAGCTGATGATTGGTTCTAATATGAATAAGTAGCTAATTATGTGTAAAAGGCCTTACAGCTGCAGTATGTCCCTTTTATAGAAATACATTTTGCATATTTGTAAAATATGTTTTTTGGGGTTTGTAAAAAAACCCAAACAAACAAAAAGCCAAAACTGAGCAGCTCTGCCAGTGCTAACTGGAACCAACCAATCAGAGCCAGGAGGCGGGTCTTTGCACCATCAATTATCCTCCGTGCGGCGCAACTATAGCGCGTTTTGAATGCATATGTAAATGCCAAACAGACCAGAGACCGCTCTAAACACAGGAAGTGTGCTGCAGGGCATTCTGGGTAAATACAACCAAAACAAACCTGCTAGCTTAGCGCTAGCTGGAGAGATGGCTGCTGGTTCTTCGTCAAAGACTAAAGAGAAATCCTCCAACTGCTGAAATCTGACACTACTCCATTTTTGTTTACATTTCATGAAGACTAAAGTTGCGCTCAGTGTCTTTAGAGGTTTTTGTGTCGTTTTCTTCTGTGATTCTTGTTGCAGCGCCCCTACAGGTGAGGAGGGAAACAGGTTGCTTAAAGGATTTGGTAGGTTTGACTCGGAGCAGAGAGACAGAGAACCACAGCAGCTGGAAGAGGACCCAGAGTTGCAACTTTGGTTTTCTTCAGGTGGGAAAACACAGATTAAAACTTCTGCATGAAAAACTTCAAATTAACCCCACTGTTGAGTAAGGTGTCAAATGTGTGATGCTGTGGGCCCAGTGAAATGTGTCAAAGCTCCTTAAAATGCCTCAGTTTATTTTGAAGCTTCTGGGACGTGGTGTGTTTTTGGCGTACGGCGGCGACCTACCCGGCCATCATGAGTCAGCAGGATGGAGTCGCTCTTGATGTCTCTGTGGATCACACCTTGAGTGTGCAGCACAGACAGCGCCTTCAGCACCGACAGACACACGGTGGCAATCTGCTCCTCGTTCATCCTGCAGAGTCAAACAGAAACCAAAGTCGTCTAGGGTTTACTTTTTCTGGATTTTAGAGTTTCACTGAATTTCATGGACGACTAATTTGAATTTCGCACCAAGAAAAGCGGCAGAGACATTAAAAAGCTGCAACTGTGGAAAAATACCAGATCACAGCACAGATTCTCCATCACTTTGTGCAATGCTGCCCCCTACTGGACAGAAATATTGCTGCTGATATCAGATCAGTTTAATAAAAACATTTATTTTTAGTATTTTATGCATCTTTTTTAACACTTTAGGAACTTATTTTCTCCTTGATGGGAAAATAAAAACTGTTTCTATTCCATTCTATTTTTTAGTTGTTTCAAAGAGATTTTATCTTCATCAGAAGGTGGAAAGTTTCTGATTACAGGGCTAAAAAAGATGTGTCCATTATAATTAAATAATGGAAAGTAAAAAAACCAAAAAACAACATACATTTTAATTCAATAACTGCTTTTTGCTTCTAAATTATTGAATAAATAGACAATTGAACTCAACAACAAAGATTTTTATCACTCATAGTTGCTTGTGCATCAGATTTAGGGGTGTACCAGAAACGTGCAAATACTAGGGTTCCACTTTGGCACCTTTGTATCCAAATCAATAACAAAAAGCAATAAATGGTGTTAAAGTTATTAAGTAATTGAAATTTGCACGTAAAACTCTCCGAGGGTTTGTTTGACTGACATATTTAAATACCAGTGTTTTTGTAAACAGTATGTAAACTTATGGTTCCAACGCGGAAACCAAAAATGTTTAAATTGAAACATTTTTAAGCTCAATTTCCGATTTTTAATCCGAGAAATTCCAGGAAATCTGGCAAAGAACCTGCGGGTTCTGTTAAGAGAAAATATATCCAGAACCAAACAGCCGCCGTCACCTGGTGTGCGTCACGATGTCGGTGAGCGCTCCGCCCTCCAGGAACTCCATCACCACCCAGAGTTCGTCGCCCACCAGGTAGCTGTTGTACATCTCCACCACGTTGTCATGGTGATAGTCCCGCATGATCACCACCTGCCGTCACCGGGAAAAACAAAAACAACAACCAGGAAGTGTCACCACACAGCTGAGACTCAGTTCGTTCCTGCTTGATGGTCGCATGAAATGGAGTTTTTTGCTCTGTTGTCCATAGAAGTCTTTTTTTTTTAAATGGTCAATATTTTGTGCTGCAATTCACTCCAACTACTGTCTGTATCTGGTGCACCTTTTCCTTCCACTCAACTTTCTAGGAATAAGCTTAAACTTTTTCACAGTATTATCAATTTCTAAGAAATATAATTTTGTGTTATAGTTTATATTGATGTATGGATGATGCTCTGCATAGTTTCTAATTCTCTACAGACCTTACTGCCTGTATTTTTGCCTGCTTCTTTTTTATCTAATCAACACCCAAGTTTCCATCAACCGTTTCTTTAGCTGCATTTTGATGCATCGCACTAGAGAAACTTGATGAAAACAGTAAAATTCAAAATAACTTTCTCAATTTTGCACAAAGGTTTCTAAGCTTGCTTGAGGTGGTTTTGGGCTTTCCCATAACATTTTTTTTTAAGTCAATGGAAACACATAAGTTCTGACGTAGCAAACTTCCCCCTTCATTAGTGGGTTCGAGCTTCCCAGGGTCAAAGTTCAAACCTTCAGCTGAGATTCGATAATTCGGTTGTGTGGATCCTGATAGTTTACAACCTCTAGATCTTGGTTATTACACCAACGTATGACGGCAACATCTGCCAACATCTGCCTGGTTGATTTGCTCTAAAGCCTAATTCACATTTTCCATTTATTTCAATGTTTGCAACATTTTAAAAGTTCACTCAAAGTTTAGACGGCGATGGGATGGAAACATGGCTTATTTTATATCTAAATTAAATAGTTTTGCCAGCAAAGAAATAATGTAATTGTACGAAGAAACACTAGTGCAAAAACCTTAGGACACCTGAAATGAAACAAAACTCACAAGTAACTTTTCAGCAAGATATAAGAGCTCATCAATAGTTAATAATTCCTTAATATTGATTCAATCAATGAAGTTTATTTGTATAACATTTCACCAACAAGGCAGGTCAAAGTGCTTTGCATCATAAGAACACAAAAATATAAAGTAATCAACAACTGAAACGTTAAATTTTGCCAAGTGTAAAATATACTGACATTTTAAAAAACTAGTTTCACTATAGAGTGGAAAAAATGTCATAAGTGAAATAATCTCCCAGCAGAACTAGAACTTTTTCAGCAATATTAAGGAATTATTGACTTAAATTAAGCTCCTGTATCTTGCAGAAAATGTACTTTTAAGTTAATTTTGTCAAATTTCAAATGTACTAATATATTTAAAGTAGAAACTAAACAAAAACACTTTGTCAGATTTAGTATTTTTGCAGGATTCTGTTGACTTGTTTTGGTTTTGCAACAGACTTTGTTGGAATGTTTACAGCTTTTCTAAAAGCTCTCCGTTTCAGCCTCCAGGAGGGGTCAGAGGTCAAAGCGGCCGGATGTTGAAGCAGTACCTCGTTGAAGAGAAGCTCCCTGCGCTGCTGCTTCCTCAGGTCCATCTTCTTCACGGCCACCAGCTTCCCCGTCGTCTTCACTGTGGCGATGCACACGATTCCCGTGGATCCCTCGCCGATCTTGATGTAGTGGTCCAGGTAGGTCCGCGGGTCGCCGGGGTCCACCACCAGCTGCAGCGCCGCTCTGAACTGCTCGTGGGAAACCCTCTGGGGCTCCCGCTGCGGGGAGCGGCCCTGCGGCGCCGCGCCCGGCCCAGGAGCCACAGCGGGCACGGGGGGCCGCGGGGCCGGCACGTTGGGGTGGGGGGCGTGTGGCAGCTGGGAGGAGTCCGGGGTCAGGCTGGGGTGGGATGCATGGTGGGAATGAGGGAGGCTGACTGGGGGCTTGGAGGAACCCCGGGCGGAGCTGCTGGAGGGCCCGTTCTGGGGGGAAGACTCTTGGTGTCGCACCACCTGGACAGTAGAGAAGAAAAACATTTTGTAAATCACAACTTTACAAAATGAAAAGGCGACAAACACCAAGTTTGACAGATAATCAAGGTGTTTAAATTAGCTAATCAGCCACCAAGGAGTTAGCTTAGCTATCAGCAGCAGTGGCTAATCTACCACAGTGATCACTTATTAATAATCGCAAAATAAACATCAATCCAAAAACACGGCGAGAAAAAAAACTGGTTTTAGTTGTTCCTCAAAGATTTTTCAGCGTTATTTTTCCTTTGTACTGAATTAATAACATCTTCATCTCCATGTTTTGTTTTAGCGGTTCTACCATAAGAAAACACTAAAGGATAAATTATAATCAAATACAAAAATCAATAAGCCCTTGAGCCATTCGGAATAATAAATATTGTTTATATTGAAACTGTTCAAACAAATCATGTTCACGTAAAATTACCTTTCTGTTCAGATTAAACACAAAATAAAAAGAATATCACAATAAAAATCTCTAAAAATGATCAGTTTTGTTGCATTTAGAAAATAGAAATAATTTTGGTGATTCCCACCAAAACAATTTAAAACAAGAAAAGTTTAGTCTGATTTAACTTTAGACAGCCAGAAAAAAATGTCTGACTTTTTATGAGGAGCATGAAAATATCTGGTTTCGATTGTAAATAAGATTCTCCAAATGATCAAACATTAGTTTGAACTTTAATACCAAACTGTGAAGTTTGAATATGAAGAACTTTAAAGGACTTTATACAGAAATCTAAAACTTTCCAAACCTTTATAACATCTAATTGAAATTCAAGCATTTTCCAGGTTTTTCTTTTTAAATACTGGATCCTGATAAATACTGGATCCTGATAAATACTGGATCCTGATAAATACTGGATCCTGATAAATACTGGATCATGATAAATACTGGATCCTGATAAATACTGGATCCTGATAAATACTGGATCATGATAAATACTGGATCCTGATAAATACTGGATCCTGATAAATACCGGAACCAGAGGAGGAAATAGTTCACTGAACTGACCAGCAGCCGCTCCGATAATCTCGGTCGACTCCTACCTGTCCCGTCGGACTGCGTCCTCCGTCGCTGTCCGTCCTCGGGTACGTGTTGAACGGTCGCGTGTTCTGCTGGGCCGTCTTCATCACGCCGTCGGTCACCGGCAGGTTGGGCGTCCGGATGTTGGGTCCCGACAGCGGCCTCTTGTCCCTCGGAGACGTGGGGCTGCCGTCACGCGCCGCATAGCTGGACTTGGGCCGCTGCTCGCCGGCTTGGTCCCGGCGGATCACCTGGTCCTGGAAAACGGAGCGGTAAGAATAGAACTACTTCAACATGTTTTTATGCAAGAAACAAACAGCAAGAAATTACTAAAATAAAAATGCATTTGGTAAAAAGTCTACTCAAGTGAGATTTAAAAATTACATCAGTTGGACCAAAATATAAAGTTAAGAACAAATTTTGGTATTTTGAGGACAAAAATTACAATAATTCATAGAACAAAAAATAACAAAATATATTATTTTTCCAAATCTGTTTCTTTCAACAAAAAAATTATAAAACTAACAGAAACTGCAGGTGTCCATCTGTGTCTGATGAGTTTTTGGTCAAAAAATGTTTGCTTTGCATTCAGTGGGTAGAAAATCCAGAAATACTTTGTAATATAATTACTCAAGTGAAAGTAGGAGTACAAATACTCCTAAAAGTATTTAAGTAAATGTAACTAGCTGCTACTTTTCTCCTGCTAGCTGATATTAATTTCCAGTTGTTTTTTTTTTAGATCTAAACTTATAATTTATATTATGATCTACAGGAAAAATGACAGATGAAAATTTCAACCAGTTTTTCAGAAATTTGTGTAACAAGGACCAAAATATTTGATGTTTAAGTATGTGACCAGCCAGTCGACCTGTTTTTATCAGTTTCTGTCTTATTTATGTCAAACTGGCTGTTCTGCACTGACTGGACAAATTAAAGTTGTTGTTCCATGTTTGCTGAGCTTCTGAAGCTACACTATATTTCAGTGAGCTGGTGCAGAGTTATCAAATAAATTTGTAATTTATTATATTAATGTCAGAGTTAAAAGCAAAACAGTTTTTAGTCAGATCATCAGTTCTTCTCTAACAGATCGGTTGATATTGGACCTCAGATATCAGTATCGGAAGTTAAATAATTGGATCGGTGCGTCGCTCGTTAGTAACGTTTAGTGAGACTGAGTGACTCCTTTGGGTCTTGGTTGGTACCTGGTCCCGGGGGTCTCTGCGAGGCTGCTGTCCCGACCCGGACCGCTCCCTGTAGGCCCTGCTGGGCTCCTGGCCCCTCGGCTGCTGCTGGGGCCGGCCCTGCACGCCCTCGTCCCGGGGCTGGACGCCACGCGGCCCGTGCTGCGGGTCCCCTCCGCCCGGATGGTCCTGCCTCAGTCTGTCCCTGGGAGCAGCAAACATGCAGTTAGCAGCACCAATTAATCAGTTATTTTCTAATCAATTAGTCTAATTTTTGGTTTTGTAAGTTTCCATGGTGCAGAGTGATGTCAGCTTGCTCAGGGCGGCCATTTTGATTGATAAGTCAACTCTAGGATCCAAAAATTGTACTGCAGCACAAGCTAAACTACTTCAACATGTTTTTACTCAAGTAAAAAGCACCAAGAAATTCTCAAGAGTAAAAGAGTATTTGGTAAAAAGTCCACTGAAATACTGAGTGACTGATGAAATTATTAATCATTTAATGTTTAAAAATGAACCAAAATATAAAATTAAGAGCAAATTTTGGTATTTTAAGAACAAAAATTACAATAATTTATATAGAAAACAAAAATTACTGAAATCAGGGAAAATAATTTTCCCCAAATTAGTTTCTTTCAGTAAAAACTTCAGAGACTTCAACAGAACCTGCAGGTTTGTGAATTACAAGTAGAGACATTTCCTAATAAATTAAATCAAAGTACAGCATAGTAAAAAATTATCTGAAAAGTAAATTTTTTTTTTTTCAAAAAAGTTACTGAAATGTAATTCAGTAAATATCAGAGTTACAATAATTCTCAGCCTGGTTGTTCAAAGGTTTTTTGTTTTCTGGTTGCATTTAGTTTGCAAGCCGGAGGAAAGTAGTTCTCCTACCTGTCTGGGTGTGTGTGGTGCCGGTGTCGGGGGTCGCCGTTCTCCTGCTCTCCGCCTGCAGAGCTGGACTCCCTGCGGGGCTGAGTGGGGGGGCTGCCTCGCCGCAGGGAGTTCGATCGGGTCACGGACATGGTGTCGAACTCGTCCAGCAGCCACGTTAAAGAGCCGTCTGCTCCCAGCTTCGTGCCTCGTACGATCGTCTGGCGTTTGCAGGACAGAAAAATGCATCTTTTTAATCTAAAGCCTGGAAAGGATCCAGTCATCTTCTAAGTCTTCTCTCCATAAAACCAGAGATCTGATATTCTGCACAGTTACATTCTCTTTAAATTTAAATAAATTCCTGGGAAATAGATTCCTCACTGAGTTTTTTCATGGTAAAAATTAGGAACATTTCAAGCATTTTCAAGGTGACATTTAAAAACACCACACTTTGGAGTTAAATCAATAAAACAAAAAAAAAAGAAAAAAATACAGTTTCAATTCACCATAATATGATGTCATTTATTATATTATTTCAATATATTGTGACTGTATTTTGCATCCTACAGCAGGGGCAACATAAACAATAATATAACAAAAGTTAAGTAAATGTTGACCAGACTGGTCAACAGTCAAAAAAACTCTGAAATGTTCATGCTGAGCTTTCTGGCATTTACCACATATAAATCTAACTACCCTAAATCTTGAATGTAGCTTGTACATGTTTTTCAACACCTGATTTGAATAAATGTTAGAGTAATGTCAATATTTACTCTACAAAAGTGACTAAAATGCCACCAAAGATTCAAATTTAAACACTGGAATTAATACAATTACAGTTATAAGTTCTCCTTTATGCAGATGACAACAGTTTTTAATTGACTGGAGCTACTTTAAGCATGTTGAGGACCTTGAAGTATCGGTTTAGGGTTTGAAATTTACTCAAGTTCTTTCATTTTGTAGAAGATGTTTTGCGCTCGTCCAAAAACATTTCTCCATTTTAAACAGAAGAAGCCTTTGGGCGAAACATGACAAATCTTCGAGACAAGAGAAGTAGCCCAGATGCTTTCTATTTTACCACTTACAACCGTCATTTCCTGTATGCCTGGGAATTGATGCCGACGCCTCAGCGTAAAGTTATGAATATGAATAAAACTGAGTAGCTCTTCCTACCTTTCGCGGTTCTACGGTAGTGATGACCGTCGCGTCGATGAAAGGCTTTGGCCTCTTGGCCGTGTCTTCGATGAGGGACTGCCATTGGCGCGGCAACCCGACGAACTTCTGCTCCTGCTCGTCAAAGTCCGTATGAACACGATGCTCAAAGTTGGACGGAGCAGAGATCTGGATTCGAGACTTCTTCTTTTTGGCAAACATGGTGGCAACGGCTGCAAGCTAGCATCAGATCTGCAGCGAGGAAGAAGAGAAGAAGGCAATGTGACTAGCAAATACATACAAAAGAAAAACTTTAGTGCACCAGCACAATAAAACTGCAATCCACACATTTTATTGCATTAATATCTCATATGTTTGCACATTTCAACCCGAGGCCTAATAGGCTGGATGGTGGCATTTATCTAGCTCTGACCTTTAGCTAAAGGTCATCATCAGGCTCAAACAAAACTTGAACCCAATATTGATGACAAGACATCAGCTCCAAGCATTTTCTGAAGGGGAGAACAGTTTGAGGAGACGGAGACTCATCTTTGAAAGGTCACTTCCTGAACATTAACAGCAGCTTTTATGACCCAGAGGAGAAAATGAACACAATTCAGATGTGAGCTGCACCAGCATCACAAGAGCCAGAGAGATGAAAGCAACAAATAACAAAACAAAAAACGAAAACAATGAACTGCAAGCCGAGTGAAAACGAGAAAAAAAAGCAGCTAGTATGCAGGCATCGAATTAGTTTTGTTTCCAGAGACTTTATAATTCTTTTTGTTTGTTGTTTCTGTTTTAAATCTACAGTTGATCCTTGAGAATGCATCATTATTACCATTATATTACTTGAAAATGGTCTCAAAACAACAATTATTATTTGATTACTGTTGTGACAATGATACAGCCAGAAGCAGAAGTTTACACAGACCTGGGTGGAGTGAAGGAGAAAATCAGAACCGCTGAAGAGGAAAGATCACGTCAACAGTTTAGCAGCATTTTGATTATTTAAATAAAATACAATAATTATGGATAGAGTGAAATCAAAAGCTTATTTTTCAGCATTAAATGACAACAAAAAAGCTCAAACTCAGTTCTAGCATGAAAATCAAGTTGTTGATAGAATAATTAGGTTTTTAAATGTGTGTTCGCTCGCGGTTGAAATCGGGTCACCAGCTTAATAATCGTTGCTGACCTCATATTTTTTATTTTTTTTGCCTGCTGAGCAGCAGTAATCTCCTGCCACTGAGAAACATAGAAGGACAAGTGCACTGCAAAAACGCAAAATCTCACCAAGGAGTGTTGATCTAGTTTCTAGTGCAAATATCTTAACTTACAAGTAACTTTCTAGAAAGCTGTAAGAGATTGATTTAAGCCAATAAAGCCTTAATATTGATTTTAAAAAGTACTTTTTCTACTGGCAGCTAATTTTATTTAAAAACAAGACATTTTCACATGAAAGTGAAATATTCTGCAAATGCAACAGGAGTTTTTTCAAGAGTTTCAAGGTATTATTGACTTAGAACTAACCCCTATTTCTTGAAATTTGTCTTTGTCTTATTTCCAGCATACTAAGATATTTGCTCTAACTGGACAAAAATACTTGGAAAGATTTTGTGTTTTTGCAGTGTGCAACATCAGACGTCCCCTGAAAAGCAGAGGCTGTTGTGGTTTGACTCCATGAAAACCTGCAGGTTAAAGAGAAAACACTCCCAGTAATAAAACAGAGTCCTGCTGGTTAGCAGCATGCAAGACCGCTAAGGGGGATTTTTCATTTTCATCCAGCAAAGTTTTTTGTTATTTCCTACAAATAAACGGCGCCACACCTTCAAGCTCTGCTTAAATAATAAAACAGACGAGAAGAAAAAAGAAAAAGATGCAGGGATTGTGGGACAGAGTGACGGGGAGCTGGGTGGGAGCGCCGACTCGGCGATTAGGGTGGATCATAAGCCAGAGGCCGTGAGTCATGCTGCTGGCCCAGGCAGTCTGCAGAGTTAGTACAGACCTTCACAGCAGGGAGGTTTGATGTGAAGAGAGACCCACCCAGAAACAGAAACAAAAAAAACAAAAAAAATTGGTCGCTACCAAAATCAGTTTCTTTTAATAAAAAAAACTTCTAAAACTAACAGAAACTACAGCTGTGTGTGTTTTAGTTAAAACATGTTTACAGATATTTAATCCTCATATTTGTTGTTTTGATTATAAGTGGGGGTTTTTTATTTCTGTTTTACTTTTTGTTTTGGGTTGTCATGTCTGTTGTTTACAAACGGTCTCAAAACAATATTATCGTTTATCGCAATAATTACTGGGACAATTTATCATCTAGCAATAATTGTCATTGTGCCAGTCATATCAATATTTATATTTACCTACTGTTGACGGTTTTAAAGCTCAAACGATTAATCGGATTGAAATAATCATCAGTTAATGGTAATAATTAGTCATTCACTGAAATATCTGGAGTAAAAGCACCGGATAATTATGAAATACTTCTTAAAGTAAAGTGCTGCTTCATCCATAACATCAGGGAAAGTTTCTGACTCATGAATCATTCTGATGTTTTCATATTTACAGGCTGGGAGTAAAAGAACATTTTGGCTCTGAAACTCTGAGTTTCATCCTTCATCTGGTTCCAAATCACTGTGGGCGAAAAACAAGATTTTACTGCAGCCCTGAGGAGCCAAGAAATCATAAGACGTGATGCAAGGCGAGAAAAATGACAAGCAGGAAGCAGATCGCAGCACAGCGGTTCAACGAAGAAGCTTTTTATGGGCTGATTCTGGTTAATGGAAACCATTCAGGCTGTCGATGAATGTTTAGAATCCAAAACAAGAAAATAAAACATTTAGATCGACAGTCATCAACATTTTCCAACAATGCAACACCTGAAAGTGTTTTAACTGAAAAATGTGGTGGAGATCTACTACTGACAGTCATTTTCTGATAATCTAGCTCCATCTTATTCCTGCATCGCTTTGGGTTAGGAATCCAAACAGCTTGGCTCTATGTCACTACATAAACAATGAAAAGTAGTTTTTTTATTTTCATAAACATGTATAAGCTACTAAATTCTGTCTTATATAATATTGAAAAGTTCTCATCATGTACTCAGAATAAGGTATAAATTACAACATAATGAATGAGTGACAGCGTAGTAAGAATTTATAAAGCAACGGAACAGGAAGTGCTTTTATTTTGACATTTCCAGCAGGCGGTGTCCCTAATGTAGCAGCTAGCTTAGCAGTGCGAGAATGTCAGAGGTGATTTGTGTTTATTTTCCTCTGAAGTGACTCAAAGTTATTCTAAGCAGCATTCAGTGTCGGGTTTTGATATGTCCCACATGGGCGGTTGCCCAGGGCAGCATTATGAAGGAGGGCGTGCAGCTAATGGAGAGTTGGAGCCCCTTTCACAGTAAAACATGGGCAGCAGCTACAGTTTAAAGCTCACATTGTTTTCAGTTGAAAATTTTCAAGAAATGTTTTTTTAATTAAATCTTGGAAATTTTTCACTTTTGTAAACTTTCTGAGTTAAACTCCAAGTTTTTTTTCTAGAATTTTTCTGAAATTAATCTTGAAATGTTTGTGCCATTTTTGGGGAAACTTTTCCTTTTGCATCAACAACGGCCTTAATACGCCGTCATACTTTTCTCTAAAACCCAATGATGGTAAAAATATCAGACCTTGTACATATCCACCCGTTACATTCCTCTGTCACTTTCTGAGTTTTCCCATTCCTGAGTTGGTTTCCCGCCCTCCTCCCAGAGCGAACTGGTCCCTCGCAGTCTGTCCATCCATGCCTGGCTGAACAGTGAGAAAGCCTGTCTGCTCTGTGGACCGAACCGGACTGATGAGTTCTGGACAGAGGCGCCGTCTTCTGGCCTGATTCTAGTTTTGTGCGTGGGTGGTCTGCTCTGTGAAAGATGCCAGTCTGAGTGAATAATGATACAAGCTGAACTGAAGCCAGCTGTGACGATATGTCTGTGAATATATTTCAAGCTAAAACTCCTCAAGTGGCAGTTTCAAATGTTTAAAAAGGAACTGAAATTTGTTTATATTCATTTAAAAATATTGCTAATATTATATAAAAGTAGTGTAAGTGTTTAAATTAAAAATATGTCGGATGTGTGATTTGTCTTTATTTGATTGAGTAATGATCAGGAAAAACTGATGGAATAATCAATTGCTAAAATAATGGTTAGTTGCAGCCATAGAGCAATTCTTAGGAAAAAGAAGTTTGTGTATTTTCATCAACAAAAAGAAGTTTTCACAGATCATCATTAATCCTGCACAGGATTAACTCTGTTAATCCTGTGCATTAAATGGAAAATTTGCAGTTTATTTTATTTAATTAACCAATTAATCACCAGAATAAACATTAGTTGCAGCCTTAAGTCAGAAATACTTTATTAAACTAAATGCAACTCATATAATTTTCCACCACCAGTTCTTCTCCAACACATAAAATAGTTTTTGACCTGATGAACCCCGTTTCTCTTGAAATCTAAAATCATCTTTGTTTTGTTCACATCCCAGACAAGACGACTGTTTCCACACCAGGCCTCGTTTCACAGGGACAGATTATTGCTGTCGCACCACATGCTTCTAAAGCTGTGGACCCACAAACACCAGGCGTCCACACCAACGCAGACAGGAACAGGAAATCAAAACATCTCTTCTACCCACGCAGGGCGATACGGAGTCATTCCCACCAGCCGTGTTTAATCCGCTTTAATCCAACTCCGGTCCGTTTGTCTAGAAACTCCGGTCCGTTTGTATGATACAGACCAAAATAAAGGAACACTGGTCCGCACACAAACCTCTGTGCCGGTTCAGTACAAGTGAACTTTGGTGCAGTTTGAATGCATATATGAACATCAAACACACCAGAGGTTGGTCCAAAAACAGGAAGTGAACTACAGAGCAGGGCATTCTGGGTAAATACAACCAAAACAAACGAATTAACTTAGCGCTAGCAGCAGAAATCGCTTGATGTTTTTAGTCAGACAAAAGAGAAACCCCTAAAATCTGACGCAACTCCATTTTTGTTTCCATTTTTTGAAAAACTAAATTGCGCTCAGTTGCTGTGTTTCCATTACAAATTGGGCAAAACTTTGTCAATATGTGGAAAAATCACAATTTCACAAATGCTATGTTTTCATTAAATAAGACACGTAATTAAAGTCACACGTCAGTAATTTTGTTCACACGATAAGTCATAAAAAATCAAAAATAAACACTCTGCGCCGTCATCCTCCTCCTTCCTGTTTTCTTCCTCATGGTTTCTTCCAGTGGCAACATCTGGAGTTTGATCATGTGACTCATGTGATGCGAAAAAATGGTTTCCGTTGCAGTTTTGCAAAAATAAACCAGCAAAACAAACTTATCCTGTCAACAAAAGTATCAAAAATTATCCTAATCTATGCAATAATCTGTGTCGACGCAAATTAATGTATTTACCATAGACATGAATCCCAACTTTAATGAATTTAATCCAATGCAAATACCGTTTAGCATGTCAGACATTTGAAATTTAATGAAATGGCTTTTTACATACTGACCATAGAATTGAGATAATCAACTTCCTCTGAATGACTGGAAACCTGCTGCAGAAACTGCCAGAGTCTGTAAATCCACCAGCCAAAAATCACCAATTTCCCACGTTTCAGTTGGAGGCAGCAGCTCTTCAACGGGACATCACATAATTTTGGCTTTAAAGCTTTTCAGTGTAAGGCTGCATGCAAGCTGCCCTTATTGCTGAGATGCTCTAATATTAGCTCACTGCTGCTGAATCCAGGTGATAATTCATAGGTTGTTCACAAAACTCTGTATACAATTAACCCGACGAAATCTGCAGTGTTATAAAAACTAGAGGTGGGTGGCATGGACTTAAAATGTTATCACATTATTTTGTGGCGCTATTGCGACAAACTATAAAAGTGTAATAAGAACTACTTATAATTATATCTTTAGGAAACTGTAAAGCTGTGACTGTGTGTCACATCAATTATAGCTTCACAAACACAAACACTGCTCTTTAAAAACATTTCTATTTGTCATCTGCTTCTTTAGGCGTTCAGTCACATAAGACAGTGTGATTTATGACACCAAATGCACAAATTTAGTGCATTTAGTCATATTTTAAAATGTATTGAACAAAATGGAGAAAAATAGTAAAAATATTGACAGTTTGAGGTTTCCTTTAACAGTAAATACTAATTAACATGATAACTTCTTTATTTTTAAAGCAGTGAGTGGTTCTGTGTGTCTAATGACTTTATTAATGCTGATTAAAAACGGGATTTGTTCCTCCAGATTTCAACTGAAAGCACAAAAACAAAAGGCAGCAGCAGCAGCAGCTCTATTTTATCTGTAAATGCCTGAAATTTTTATGTATCTGCATTTTCCCCTTTTCTCCATTAAAACTCCGGTTAAAAGTGCAAACATGGCCATCCTCCCCCTCTCTGCTCAGCTCCATGTGTCACCAACACTTGTGCAAATAAAGCCAATGACTGTGATGGTGGAGGCCAACAGCTGTCTCCAGTCAGCAACAGGTCTGAATGGGAACACTGGGAGGAAATAACACTGAAATAAAACTTATTCTGCTTTTTATGTCCCAAAACCGACCAAGAGAACCAAACTTTCCTTGAGTCGTGATGAAACTCAGCTGTGATCAGTAATACTCACCATGAAGCAGAACCGAGTCCAGCGAACCAGCACCGGATCCGCGGAGGAATCCAGCGACATTAACCGCGGAAGCGGCGGAAGCGAGCGGAGCGGCCGTGGGCTCGGAAACACGAAGCGTGTCGCATTCCTCCGGTTTCAGCGCTGTGACGCTGCGGGGTGAGACAGCCGGTCAGCGGGGAGGGAGGGAGATTAGCGCGGCGCTGTCAGCAGCCAAACGCGGGTTAGAAATCACAAACAGCGACGCCTCTTCCGCCTCTCCGCCCCTCGCCTCGCAGACGGACCTGCAGGTGTTTTACCTGCACGGTCACCTGACGCACATTTGACTTTTTGCACTTCCTGCCCGGAGGTTCATTTCCAGGTTTGGCTTTGCTTCGGTTTTTCCCCAAATTAAATAATAAACATTTATAACAGGCGTAAAACAAACAGTGATGCGTTCAAGGACCAAAACTGACGGTGGGAAAATTAGAAAACAACCTATTGCTGTGATTTCTTTTTTAATTTTGTACATGAATCAAGGTTGAATTAACAGTGGTGGAACAAGAGCCAAAGTGTCTCTCCTTCATTTGCATTTATTCATTTTGCTCTTTAAAATAACAGAATTTGCATATAAAAGTTTCTTTTTGTTTGTCTGATGTCATTAACTATAAGTCAGATAATCTGATCAGTAACTCGGTACTTAAGTAGCTTTCCCGGAATACTCTGGTAATCTTACATGAGTAACTTCTTACAGGAAGCAGATCCAAAACAACCCGTGATGCGTTCAAGGACCAAAACTGACGGTGGGAAAATTATGAAACAACCTATTCCTGTAGTTTTACATGGATCGAGTTTGTAATAATCAATAGTGGAACTGCGCCATCACCTTCCAACTACTTCCTGTTGTTGTCTTCTTTGTTGTTTCCTCTGGTGGCAACATTCGGTTGTTGAACATGTGACTCGTGAGGTTTAGGGTTAGGAACCGTCTTTGTTTCGTTTTAACTTTTTATCGTTGCGTTCATTCTGCACATGTTCATGTCTAAAACAAACGGCGTAATCGTTCGGTGTGCCAGACCAACCAGGCTGTTCTGGAGGTTTTCAGTAAGAAGACGTTCCAGAAAATCTTAAAAACAAGAATATATTCAACTTCCAGCCTCGCAAATGTGTATTTTGCCATCAGCTAATGACTCCCTCTTACACAACAAGTGGTGACAGTCTGCCTCAAATTAGCCTGTTTATCTAATCAAAGCATGCTGCTGTGAAATACCAAGTCTGGCTGTTAATATAAGCACATTCATCACCAAACGGAGCACAAAACACAGACAAAGCCAAGGCCAATTTACAGAACATGACGTTAGAAATCCAGTCACACCCTTCCAAGGATTGTTTGATTTGCTTGAGTTTGGATGCAATCAGAACAGCAAAAAACTAAATAGTTTACAAAGAAAAAAACCAACTGAATGAAAAGTTTGGTTGTTCAATAAAGAAAACAGGTGGATTTATTTTGAGGTGCCGATGAGGAATGTACCTGTGCCAGGAGAAAGTCTGCAGGCATTCCTGAGTAAAAATACAGCAGAAACTGGTTCAGCCGACGTATCAACGGCAGAGACGCACAAAGCCGCCAATCCAGAAGCCAAGTTCAAACAAAGCTCGCAGTGTTGCAGCCAATGAGAGCCGACCTTCAGGCGCAGGTTGTGGAATGTGGAAAGGTCAATGATAAAGCAGAGAAAGTAGGGTAAATGAGTACACAGGCTGACTTCAACACAGACTTCAGCACAGACTTTCTGAATGCGCCTTAAGGAATCTTTTCCACATTTCTACACGCTCAACAACAACAAAGAAATAGTTTTAGTAGGCCCAGAGGCACCTTTCTATTGGTTTCGGTTGCAAAATGATACATTTAAACCAGTCACAATAAGCAATAAATCAATTAATTGCATGACAAATTGAAACAAGGGCAATAATTTCCATTTGCATGATTTATTGTTTTCTCTTTCTACCAAAAACTGGACGATGAAAGTCTTCAGTCTGGTGTTTTTGTTAACAGATACTTCAAAATTAATTTTATTTGTTTCTCTTGTTTTATTTATTTTGGATATTTAAAATGTCTTCCAGTTCCAAGGCCAAATGTTCTATGTAAAGTAAAGTTTACTAATGTACTTGCATTATTATGTCTTTGTCATATATGTGGTAAATAGTCTCAAAATGATTATATTATTGTTTATATTGATCATTTCTTGGACGATTCTGCAAAATGTCATTGTGACAGCTTATAAAACAATCCTAAAAATTCAAATTTACTGCAGTAAATATTTTCCAGGACTTCAGACCTATCCAAAAATATAAAATTTTTCATGGATTTCTGAACATTTTCTACATTTTCATGCCTGTTTTGTTCATAAATGCTAACATTTTGAAAGAGAATCATCAAAAATAGATGGTATTATCAAAAATAAATAAATAAAAATAAAGTCACCTTTAATCTGATTAAAGGTAAAGACCAGTTTTGTCTGATTTTGGGCCTCAAGACTTAACTTTACTGAAGTCTAACTGGAGGACATTATGACAATAAAATGCAACAAAACAAGCGTGGGAAACTAACTAGTTCAGTCCACTTCCAAATTATTTTAAAATAACAGGATAAAATGAACCAAACACTTCATCCTCAATCGAGCACAAAAAAAATTCCACCAATTTATTAAAGTTTTACTTTGATGTCCTGTTGAAACCCATTTAGACCAAACTGCACTGCAAAAACTACTTACAATATACGTAAAGATGTACAATAAGTAATAAATGTTGCATGAAACACGCCTCTCATTGTAAACAGAAGAACATGTGAATTAGTCAAAAGATCAACGGAAAAATGTTTCGGATTACACATGAAAATACTCGACATGCTTCGGTAAAAACAAACTTCGGTGAGTCATACGACGAAAGAAAATGTCGTATGAATTTCCGGACAACAGGAATATCCACTTAACAGTCATAATAGATTCAGAAACTATTTCTGTTTCAGCAGAAAACAAATACCCACTCTGAGAGGGAAGGAAGAAACAGGACGGACAAGAATCTGCCGAGGCCCGATACTTGCTAACTCATGCTTAGAAATAGATTAGGATTCACTGATTATAAATACGAGAGATAAGAAAAAAGTGACAAAGGTAATAAAGTTGATCATTTGAGCTAATATTTGAGATATTCATGCCATATCACACATCCCTAATTCAGGCTTACACTCTTTTTTAAATTTTAAATTCTGCAACATTTTAAGAAATAAAATCTTTTCTCTTTTAAAAAATTTACTGAATTATTATTTAGTAGCATCTTATTATTATTTTACTAGCTTAAGCAGCTACTACAGAACAGGACAATTGTCTGATTACTCAATTAATTGTCAGATTAATCGCCAAATGACTCAATTACGAAACTAATCTATTGAGAAATCAGCCATAATCCCAAATAATGTCCAGTAAATATGTGAGTCACGGTGGCGTTGTTATTACATAATGATGTCATGTCGTAAACAGAAGCAACGAAGGTGCGATTATCACCTCTGTCATTAGGAAACACAGACGTCATGTGATCTCAGAGTTAAAGACAGTCCTGAAAAGTGCTGCTCTTTGATCAGACATCATGTGACCTGTGAACCTTCTGCTGTGCTGGAAGGGATCAAGCAAAGCTGTGTGAAGATTACTCACAGCTTGAAAATATTATGTGAAGATGAACAAAAAGATTCTTTCGAGAGTCCTAAAAAAGGCGGAATCCGGAGAAATAGTTTTGGAACGGGTCGAGTCCTGTCCTTCTCATCCTGACGAGCGAAAGCTTTCGTTTCCTCCTCTGAAACCCAACCGGAACAGAGGTGAAACGGCGCCACCATCCAGAAGTCTCTCTGTATTGTTTCTGTTAATCCTCTGCAACACTGGGAGCACACAAGCCTCAGCATGATTTCACAGCCAGAACGGGAAACGACTGCAGAGCAAACATTTACCGAAGCCAAAATAGGGACAAAGAATGCATCTCGTTTCAAAAAGAGAAAAACTACAACTCCCTAAAAATCAAACACAAACGACTGGAGGAAAGTAGGTCAGCTTATTGTTCATTTACAATAAAGTTCACATGTTGCTTCCTCCTCTACTGCTGATATCCAGATTTACAAGGGAAATTAATCTGATTTTGTCTGATCCAAATCAATCTCATCTAAAAGGAAGAAATCTGCTCATGCATACAGGCAGCAATGTCACAAAATTAACCAACATCTCTCACCGATGAAGATGCACAAATGTAAGCTGAAACGATTAATCATGACGAACTGATTATTCAATAAGCAGTCGTCGACTTATTTAGTAATTAATTATTAACTGGAGGACACAGACTCTCGAAAGGCGATGTGTTGAAAAAACAGCATACTCAGAGCAGTAATTACACCAAAACTGTACAAAAATATGTTTATTTTGCATTAAAGATATAAAAACTATGCAAAAATTTGTCAATCTACAAATTATCAAGGAATATCTCAGGTATTTATGAAAAATAAACTGATTTATTTGCATCTTTTAATGTATTTCTAATGTATCATCAAATTTTCCATCCGATTAATCACCCAAATAATTCATTGATCAGCCTGATAATTGGTAGAATAATTAACTACTAAAATAATTGCTGCATAATTTTATTATTTGCTTCGCTCTGCATCATTTAGCGGTGAGTAAACAGCTCTTTACATCTTATCTGCTGCTGCAGCAGCAACAAGCGTGTCCTTCACCTTATCAGGCCTGAAGTTTCAGTCGATACCAACAATAATAACCTTGTTGCGTTTTTCTCTCGTCGCTCTAAAACTAGGAGAAGACGACGGGCGACCCGTCCTGCAGCAACTCTGATGACTTCACCTGAAAGCGTTGAGTCTAAATCCGCTGCAGGAATCTGCTGCATTCTTACATGGTGTTATATTAAATCGAATAGATTCTTCAGGCCTTGTTTCACAGATGAGGCCCTGCAGCAAACATTTACAAGATGCTATAATTGCGGGTTTGAGCCAAACAAATGCAGCTGATTGACGGTGTCGGAAACAGATCTGCTGCTCCACTAACAGAGGATTTTTTTAGTTCGGTCGCTGTTGTTTCTGGTTCTGAGCGCCTCCAGGCCCATGTTGGAGTTGGCCGGTTCAGTCATTCCTCAGAGGATTTTCCTTTCTGTTCACAAGTCCAGTTCTTTAGCAACGTTTTTAAAAAAGTATTGTTTCTTCATTTTCTCAATTTCTTCTCGTTTCCCAACCAGACCTTGTGCACTGTGTCGTCATCAACAGCAAAACAGACATGAATGTCTTTCTGAGACTTTGTTCTTCCTCTGGTTCTGATGGTGCCAACCATCAGGATCGGTCCTGTGGTCTTCAGAGTCAACATGACGAAGCTCAGAGACGAGGCGACTTCAGCTTCACCGCGTTTCCTTCGACAAACTGGCAGGTGGATCTTTTGCTGCTCTGAAGATTCAGTTAGACAGGAAACACAACCAGTCTGTCCTCCACACTTACATCCATCATCTTCACCAGTCGGTTCAGTTCCTGTCTCATCCAACCAGAGGAGACTTTTACCCGGACAGGAGTCCACCCGGCTGTGTTTCACCAGACAACAGAACAGTGCGATTTCTCCATTCTTTGAGGGATCAACAGCTGGCGATGAAGAGCTGATCCACATCTGTGTCATAACTGCTGTCATCTTGAGGCTGGTAACGTCCAGCATCCTCAGCCGTGATGATGTTGATAATCAGAGAACAGTTTCTGTCCAAACTCAGCCTGGCAGGACGAGGTGAACTCTGAACCCTTTCTGAACTTGCTGCTGATTATTCATGTTTTCATTTTTCTCATAAATCCAGTTCACAGACCAGCAGGAGTCGGATGATGAAGGTCTGTTACCGGGTAAAACGGCAACATCTCTACCTCTGTGGTAGATATGAACTGGTTTTCTTCTGTTAACTGCACCAAACCGATGTGTGTATTCATTCTGCTTCCTCCAACAAACTGACAGGTGAATCTTCTGACGCTTCAGTTAGAGGGAACACAGAACGCCTCTTGTCTTTCCTCGATTCTAACACCTTCAGTCAGTTCAGCTCCCGTCTCATCCAACCACTGTCCTCTAGACAAGGATCCAACCCACTGGATCTCACCAGAGAGCAGAGTAATGTCAAGTCATCCTTGGTTCAGGTAGATCAATGAGCAAAACATTCAGATACACTGCTGGTTAAGAACCTAAAAAAGGAGATTGAAGTTTTATTTCCTGCTCTTCAGCTGTATTTTTTGTGCTCTAATTTCCGTTGCGTGAGCCGTCAGAGATAAACTGTGATGCATATTAATGAGCTGCAGTCGGTTCATCTGCAGACAGAAAATTAAACCGAGTCGGAACGGAATCCAAACTGGTCCAACTGGATTCTTACCACTGAAAATGAAAATACTTCAGAATAAAGATGGTTTTTTTTAACGTGTTTATTATTCACCAGCAGGTGTTTATACAACAGATTGAGAATAAAGCACAAAAAGGGATTTGATCTGCAAAACGATTCACCAGATAATAGAGCGAATGACAGCGATAGAAATTAAACAACCAAATAATAAAGAAATAAACTTTAACCCTGGAACTGGAAGACATTTTAAGTACCCAAAACAAATAAAACAAAAGAAACAACAAATAAAATGAATTATGATGTCTTCTTAAGCAAAACTGCCAAAATACGGTTGTTGAGACCGAAGCACCAGACTGAAGACTTTAATCATCTAGTTTTTGGTAGAAAGAGAGAAACAAACCATGGAAATGGAAACTCAGGTTGTTTTAATTTGCCATGTGATTAATTGATTTATTGCTTATTGTGACAGGCTTAATGCTACTTCCTGTTAACTTTGTGAAGCACAGTCTCAGTTTAATAAACATAGTCAGCTTGTATTTTATCATCACAAATTCAATGTTTTGTTGTAAATAAATAAAGATCAACCAACTCATATTTTAGCTATTGCTGACTAATTTAGAATCAATCGAGGGTTTTTAAACGTTCTTTTCATTGACTGAACGTTTATCAGCTTAGCTCTGCACCAGGTGCTCTGCAGGGCATGAAGACGGCGCTGCTCTTGAGGTGTAATGATGTATAATGTGAGAGAACAGTGACCCCTGCTTGCACCTCTGGCATCCCAGGAATGTGCTGTATGAACCCAGCACCAATCGGACAACTTTACTGAACTCCCTCCACTCACCGCAGACTCAGACGATCATGATTGCAGAGCATGAAAGATTCTGTAGTTGATCCAGAACAAAAAAGCACTAAAACTTGTAGCAGAGGACTGCTACAAGTTAGTGCTATGACACTAGCTGCTTTTTCATTGCAAGTGTGCGCAAAACTCTGTCAATATTTTACTGATGTGAAAAATCCCACAATTTTGCAGTTGCAGTGTTTCCATTAAAAAAGAAGCTCTATTAAAATCACATGAGAATAAGTTTATTCACGTAATAAGTTATTAAAAACCACTTCCTGATTTCTTCTTTGTGTTTTCTGGCAGTAGTAACATCCTGTTGTTGATCAAGTGATTCGTGTGATGCAAAAATGTGTTTCAATTGCAGTTTTGCAAAAAAAACAAAAAAACAATATTGATACAATATAAAAAATTACTCCATCATCACACCAAAATATATTTTTTACAAGAATTGTTTTCAAAACTGCCATTACTGCATGAAGCAAATTTATTTTCGAAATATAAGATTTTCCAATTATACAGTCAACTGAAACACAGCTACTGATGTTTGAGAACAACTTAAAAGGTCAGTAAAGTACTAAACCTCTCGGTCAACATAAGCTAACAACTTACATTTAAATATTAGCTTCACATCCAACAGTCCAGTTACAAGATTTGGTATGTTGGAAAAACACGATTCTCGGTTTTAATCCAAGAATGTTCTGTTCTAACCCCCACGACTTTCCATTCTACTCCGGTTCAGATTAACACAGGAAAATGTTAATCTGCTGTGCGGCAGACTAGTGAAGCACTGACACAAACCAGGGTAACTTCGAATTCACAGCGACACATGCAATATTTGCAATATTGTTGAAGTTGTACATTCCAGATTTTACCCAACAATTCATGGCTACGTTGAGACAGCAGACAAATTCAACCCAAACCCAAAATCTGACCAACATCTGGTCTTTTTCACAGCAATCTGAATGGTCCAACTACAATCTGTGTCCGATTGTTTTATCCAACTTTTACGTTATTATGTGAGACATGCATCATAATTCTGAACAAGAAGCCAAATGTAGGACGTAAACAATGATTGAACATCATTAAAATTTCAACCATTGCTCAACCGTCTTAAATGGAATGAAAATGTTGTAAACATAAGAAAACCAAAACAATCTATTTGCTTTTCACTGGAGCTGAATATTTTCAAAAGTGAAAATGCTAAAGAAAAACTTATTGGAACTGCTGTCATCACTGCAATACTCAACAAAATGTCCATCCCAGCAGCCAGTATGTATAAAAATCCCTTTCTTTCTTTCTTTCTTTCTTTCTTTCTTCCTTTCTATATAATGAAGCACCTTTAATGCTTTTAGTTTTGTCAGAAAAAAAAATAGATTTATAATCTCTTAATTTATTAAATTTATTCTCAATAATTATAGGTTATGTTTCCCATAAAATGGAAGAAATTGTGACATAAAAATAAACAGTGCTCTGGTGTTTGTAAATTATTTTCTTTAAAACAACTTTAAAATTTAGAAAAGTAATTTAAAACAAATTGAGATCCAGGAATCACAGCCTGAACAGGGAGTTTGGTGTCTTTCCCAACATGGTTTTTAAAATGGTATTATTTTTAATCATTTAGTTGAAATCAGTACTCAACTGTTTTTCTCGTCAGTAGAAATGGGAATATTTTGCTTTCAACCCTTACATTAAAATACGCCGTGAACGTCATGCCAGAGGAAACAAAAGTTTAGAAACTTTTAAAAGACTGATGAGACTCAGAAACCCGCCGCGGGCCAAACTGGTTCACATTTCACCAAATCCATCGTAACTCTGGCTGAGCAGCGACGTCACACTAATGTACAAACAGCCGCTAAAACCAGATGAAGCGTCATATCTGCTGGAGTTACATTTATGAGCAGCTTCAGACGTTTACCGTGGGTCATTAGTATCAACCTGTGAACTTTCCATCAGGCTGTGAGCGAGTTTTCATTGAACCAGAGCGAAGAAGCTGCCCTGCTTCCCTCGGAGGCGGCCAGCCTGGGGAGCCCCGACAGCGGCTAACGTTAGCTGCTGTTAGCTGCTGTTAGCTCCGGAGCGCGAAGCGGAGCAGCAAAATAACCTGGAAATACTTTCACTAAACCCGCAGCCGCTCACTCACCCAGAAAGACACGGGGAAACGCTTTCCGCTGCCTCGCAGGGGACTCTCTGAACTTTCCCGGGCCTAGTGGAGCATGAGCGGGAGAAGTTTGGGGAAACTGTCTGACATTAGCAGAAGTCGCTTACTTTCCCAGCGCCATGTTGAACAGGGAAAAGAGCACATCCGGGAAACTGGGGCCGAGCGTCCCCATGGAAACTGAGCAGCGTCGGTCAGTCCTGTCTGAATATTGGAGTCGTCTCAACCTTTTCATCTCCAATGTATTTATTGCCTTGTAAAGGATTATTTTGATGAGTCCTGTTGTTGTCAGTTATATGGAATCATCATTTGTTTTGGTCAGAAAGGTCAAACCACCAAAAAATATGCGTGTGTGTTAATTTGTTTGAAATAATTAAAACAAACAAAGACAAAACAAACAGCTAGATTTTGAGTTTCCTTTTGTCCTCCTTCCTGCTGCAGGAGCCATTTGGGGGGAAAAAAATATTTTGACGACACCAGAGCTGGAAACCAGCCGAGGTGAAACAAAACTGAACATTTATTTAAAGTTTACAACAGAGGGAAGGACAATCTCTAAATGATTTCATTTTAAAAGCGGAGCAGAACAACGTGTTCATGTTTCTGATCAGAGATTAGAAAGGAAGTTTGTTCTGGCTCAATCTGCTGGAGGAGGAAGAGGATGAGGATGATGACAGAGACATTGTCCTCCGCTGACTAAACCAAAACAATACAGCCGGAAACACAGAGAGATTATTAATGAGATCAAACAGAAATGTTCCTAATTTGTTAATGTCCCTTAAAGTAGAAATCAAAATTTAAAAAATTACTTTAGATCTCTTCTGCGGCAATTTCTGTTGGCATCATGGAATAAAGAAATAAAAGAAAGAGAGAAGAAAGGAAACAAACACCTGGAAAGGAAGGAAGAAAGGGACAGAAAGAAAGAAACAAATAAAAACAGAAAGAATCGCTGCAGCGTCACATATCCAACACTGACCTCTAGTGGTTGAATCCTTGCATTGCACCAAATGTCCCGCTCCAGTTTCCGCTGAGCCACACAAACTTTTTACAGGCTGTTCAGTTATTTCAACCCAGCCACATTCATTAATAAATAAAAAATAATTTTTAAAAATTCTGACTAATTCTTTTCTAAGGTAGTTTTTGCACAATCACATCAAATTCAAGCCACACTTTTCAGGGAATAATTTCCCTTCCTCTTCACTTGTGTTTGTCTCAGTCCCCAAAAAATACATCAAGGAGATTAAATTACCTTTTGAAAAAGTGAAATAACTATACTTACGTAAATTTTTATCTTAAACGTCCTGAGCAGGTGCAAGAGTCGCTTTGGGTTGCAGCAGAAACTCCTTCAGTTTGTCCCAGAAACTTTGACTTTTTCTCATCGCTTTGCAAACTGAGATCAATAAACCGCAAAAGAGCTGAAAGTGCTAATTAGTGATGTACTTTTAAAGCTAATTTGCACCTTTTATCTTTGTGGAAAATGTTTTTTTTTTTTTTTTTTTTTGCTGAGTCTGCTCCCTGATTTTACAGAAAGTTTGCATTTGCCATTTAAACTCATTATTTGTGTAAATTCAAAGAAAATAAAGATGTTAAACCTTTTTCACGCTTGGCTATAAACTTTAGTGAAGGATTTAATCCGAATTACTTGCAGTCAAATCTAAAAATGATTTATTTTTATCTGTTCACCAATAGATTAAATATATAATGGATAGAAGCAAAGCAGAGATAAAAGATTTTATAAGAATGTGTTAATAAATTATTGCATCTGCAAGAATAAAAAAACATGATGAACATTCAAAAGACAGGCACGTTTATGGGGAGTCGGGATTTTTGTCACTTCAGTTGACCTCTTTAATGATTCACTAAATAGATGTGTTTTTATTGAATATAAAACCAAAGAGAATATAAAAAGTTAGAAAAACTCACATTATGTTTTTTTTCTTTTGAATCCTATTAATGTGTCCATGTTGTCTTCACTCGCGCTGCTGTTCATTCACGCATCAGCTGTTTGTTCTGCAGGCTGTTAATGTTCCGCACCTGAAATGGAAAGGTTCCCTCAGGGGAGGCGATCTGATCTGGACTCTTTCATCTCTGAATCAGAGAACCGATTAGTGGCGGGTTGCCAAGTTCAGTGTAAAAACAGAACAACGGTTATCAAACGGGTCACAAGGTCCAGACACATAAAAAGGAGAGAATTTGAACTGCAAAAACGGTTAGAAGAACCTTCAGCTAATGGCGGACAAACAAAAAAAACGATGTCATGGGTGGCTACGCTGGCTAGCTTAGCATTCACAACAGACTATGCTAGCCAGCTTACCATTCCCAACAGGCTATGCTAACTAGCTTAGCATTCCCAACAGGCTATCCTTACTAATGTAGCATTCCCAAAAGTCTATGCTGGCTAGCTTAACATTCCCAACAGGCTATGCTACCTGTCGCTTTAAAGAATCATTCTTCTATCCAAAATATTGATATAATCAGTACCAAGTTGGCTTCAGTATCAGATGGATGATGGCGTGCTAGTTTAACATCCCAACTTTATTTTGTTTTGGTTGTGGAGACACTATTGGTTCTTTTAAATCAGGTAAAAACATTATTTTCTGTAATTTTTCTGTTTTATTTCTTTTTTGAAGATTTTCTCAACTCTACTTGTATTTATTTGCTCTCGAATTATGATTTTTTTTTTGGCACTTTGTTTATGTAGAAAAAAATGCACACAAATAATAATAGTATAATATTAATCGATTTCTCCAAATTCTGTCAAATAATCAAATAATTGAAAGAACAAAAACTAAAGCTCAGAAGTTTGATGATTTCAAATTTCTGATGTGATGTCACACTTCCCTTAACTTTGTAACTGACAGCCATCTTGGTAGGCAGTTGGTATGGAGTAAACAATAGTAAACAAACAACACGTTTGGAGCTTGCTCATCGATCCTGACAGCAGCCATTTTGTTCATGTATCTTTCTGCTGCACATTGGTCAAGAGTTCCCACATATTTTCTTTCTGTTGGTCTGGAAGCCATGGTTCTGTTCTGCTATGCTTGGCCACTAAGATGGCGTGGATCACTTCCGGTTCCGGATCAGTAACAAAATATCCCAGAAGAAAAGGAATCTTGCAGCTGTGGAGAAACTATTGGTTCCTTAACATCAGGTAAAAACGTTATTTGTTTATTTCTTTTGAGTTTAATTTAAGGCTGAAATGATTAATCAGACTTATGATGAATAATTGAATATTGAAATAACACAACTAGTTTAGTAATCGATTGATCGTTAACTGGAAAACACAGAGTCAAAAAAGTCTATTTGTTGAAAGAACAACAAAATCAGATCATTTTTATGATATTTAAAATAAGTTTAAATGGTTACATCAAGAATCTGCAGAATATTTATGATTAATTGTCAGAAAAATCAATTACTAAAATAATGGCTAGTTTCATTGTTTTATGCATCAATTTTTCTGTTTTTTTTACTGCATTAATTGTGTTTATTAATATTTTTCCTGTGGAGAACAAAACGAGCCTTTTGCTGTTTATAGTTTTTAGGCTCATTGTTGCTTATTTTTGGTGAATTATCAGCACTGCAGCTGAACAATATGCAGGATTTAAAGAGAGAAAATCTTTCTTTCACCAGCAAACCCTGCACCAAACCCCCAAAACATTTCCAGCATTTAATTTAAACAGCAGATTAAAATCAACATCAATGAATGATGCAGAGCCTGCACTTTATCTCCGTCGCTCCATTTGCGCTGCAGATGTTTGCAGGAGAGAAAAGGAGCAAACAGTGAAGCCTTGGAGCGGTTGGGGCGATGCGTTCTGCAGCAGAGGGTTTTTTTGGTGCTTTTTTGTCGCTGCTGCTGCTGCAGTCTGAAGCTCAGAGATCTGCTGAGTCATGCCAGGGCTCAGTCTTCAGGTCACAGCTGCAGAACCGCAGCTGAAAACTTCTGCTGCTGCTGATTTAATTATTGATCGGAGGAGGCGCAGCCACCTTCCAGCAGCTGCACAAGGCTACGGCTGAGCCGCAGCAAATAATGCATGAAGTTAAAATCTCCGGAGCAAAACATGATGAGATTTAGAGCGAGCGTGACAGGAGGCGACAGGAGACTGGCTGAAACACATGGCTCTGGTTTTCCTGGGCCTGTTATTTCCTCTGTGATTCCAACTGAAGGAAATGGCAAAACAACAGGATCAGATGCAGAACTGCATGCAGGGAAATCAGCATTTTATGTTCTTTATTCTGAAACTACTAGTTCCACTGGGAGAGTATTTCACTTACACTGCAAAAACACACAATCAATCTTACTGAGTCATTTTGGTTTAGTTTCTAATGCAAATATCTTAGTACAGTTGAAATAAAAACAACTTATAGAAACTCCAAACAAAAAATATAGGAGCTTATTTGGAGTTAATCATTCCTTAATGCTGATAAAAAAAATGTGCTTGTTCCACTGATTGATTATTTTATGTGTGACAAGACATTTTTACCATATTGCTATGCTAACTAGCTTTAGCATTCACAACATGCTGTGCTAACTGTCTTGCGACAGCGTGTTGCTACTTGTGGGGTTTTTCCTCATTTCTAGTACTAAGATATTTGCTCTAGAAAATAAGACACAGTTACTTGTTAATATTTTGCTTTTGCAGTGTACATAATGTGAAATTTGCATAATAAGGCTGCATTTTCATGTTCCCTTTGCATTTTTCCTTAAAACCTATATTTTTCTTACATTTAGTGTTACATTTGGGCAAATTTTAGAACCCAGTAAAGATCCTTTCCTCCCGTAAAAATTCAAACAAACTAGAAACGTGTGAGATCGAAAGCAGAATCAAAGTGACGTCAGCATGGCTGCTTCCCTTCTGCCGTGTTTCAGCCTGCAGGTCGTCTGTTTCCACCGCAGTGACAACAACACACACGCAGTCTGGAATAAATGCATAGTTTATCATATCATAACAGTAAATGAAACAGTCTGGCTACATTTAAGGACTGCAGTCTAAATTATAAAGAGAGGCCAACAAACGGTGTCCTCAGAATCAGTGTGACACAACGTTGTAATATTTATCCTAATTTCTGTGAGGCGACGCTAAACAAAAGCAGCGCTAAAAAACGATGATAAAAAAAAGTTAATCATCCACTTGGTTTAGGCTACATCTCCTCTTGGTACCTGAATGAAAACAGCTCCCTGCCGTGCAAAGAAAAAGGAAGAAGGCAACCGTTCTGCTGCAGGAGGGCTCGGTCCATCATTTCGCGTCTTTCTTATATTATTAAAAAGTTGCAGGAGTTTGTTGTCTTCCTGGGTAGAGTTCAACAGATGCAGAGCGATTCTCCTCCTGGGCAGATTTAAAGTGTCTTAGTTTCAGCTTTCCGCTCTTAAAAGGGTCTTAAAGCAGGGGCGTCCAAACCGTTTGCAACATGGGCCAGAATCCCCACGCTGGAGGGGGCCATTTTGTTTCTCCAACTTCAAACGCAAAATAATTACTTTGTGATTTTACTTTTTCTTCTTTTGCAATATTTTAATGAAGCAAAGTAGCAACGTTTTTTTGCCTTAATAGAATGTGGACATTTTCCTGCACTGCAAAAACACAAAATCTTACCAAGTAAGTTTGGTCAAACAGTTTCTAATGCAAATATCTAAGGACACTTGAAAAGCGACAAACTAACTTACAAGTAACTGCTGAGCAAAAAAATATTAACTTGTTTTAAGTCACTAATTTCTTAATATTGATGAAAAAGTTCAAGCTCACCGTTACCTAGCAACCCCAGCCAAGCCCAACCCGTAACCTAGCAACTGAATTGTAGTTCCATTGACAGATTATTTCATAATTTGTCGTTTTTGGTAGTTTTTGGTAGTTTTTTTATCAATATTAAGAAATTATTGAAAAGTTACATGTTGGAAAAAAACAAATAGTTTTCTCTTATTTTTAAAGTACTAAGTTATTTGCACTAGAAGCTAAACCAAAATGACTAGATTTTGTGATTTGCAGTGTAACTTTTATTTTGGTTTAGAAAATCTTTTTAGTCTATTTCCAGCAACATAAATGAGAACTTTCTTCAAAAGACAAGTTTATTAATAAGTGTATTTATTAATAAACTTGTTTTTTTAATCCTCTCCTCAGATTATATTTCCTAATTTTTTTTTTTTTAAATGACCACTAATGCTGCAAATTGGTAGCATTCAGAATGGTTCTAAAGGCCACAAATGGCCCCCGGGCCACATGTTGGACACCCCTGAGTTAAAGCATGGGTGGATTACTGAGCAGCAACAATGCATGTTTTTAAAAAAACTTCTATAAGGATTACAGGAGCAGCAGTCAAGACGCTTTGTGGTTCATGCAGGGAATCGATTCTGCTGCAGAGAATGTGAATATTTAGATACTTCAGAAGAAAAACGCTGAAAAACGTGATTGTTTTTAGGTTTTTTCACTCCAGACAGTTTAAATGCTACCTTTATGTCGACATAAGGAGTGGAAACGATGTGGCATTAGAGTCCATTTCTGTCCAACAAAGATTAAAAAAAGCAGCAAGTTGTTAAAACATTCTACACTGAAAAAAGAGAACAGGTGATCCAACTCAAAAAATGAAGTTTATCCAAGTGAATATATTAAGTCTATTAAGTTGTCATGTTAAACAAACATAAATGAAGTAAGTTTGACAAACTTAATTTGATTACATGTAACAGATCGACTCTTTTTTTATTTTTAAATTGGAGCTCCAGTCTTTTTTTCAGTGTAGTTAATCCCAGCCATCACATGTTTTTTGGGCCCCATATGGATTTGGGTTTTAACTTCACAATGGGGCCCACTCAGCTTGACTAATTAAAGCCTCTGTGGGTTTGCATTGCTGGCTTGACAGCTAAGCGCTAATCCTATTGGGATGAATTCTCACCAGCCCAGTTCAATCCGCTTTAATCGAACTCCGGTCCGCTTTTCTAGAAACTCCGGTTCTAGAAACAGTTACGCAGTTAAAGCATAACTGGATCAAAATAATGGAACTCTGGTCCGTGTACAAACCTCGCTCTCGGTTTGGTTGAAGTGAACTCTGGTGTGGTCTGAATGCATATATGAACGGCAAGCGAACTTTAGACCGCTCCAAAAGCATGATGCGGATTCTGCGCATGGCATTCTGGGTAAAAACAACCAAAACAAACCTGCTAAATAGCGCTAGCAGGAAAAATGGCTTGTAGCTTGTTTTTTGTTCACAAAAGACAAAAGAGAAATCCTACAACTGATGGAAGTTGGTTAAAATTCCTTTTTGTGTCGTCTCCTTGAGTGGTTATTACTGCAGCGCCCCCAGAGGCGAGGAGGGGAACAGTGCAGTGTGAAAGAGAACCGCAGCTAAAAATATAGCAAATGTTGCAAATTTGGCTCCCTATCAGGTGGGAAAAGCACATCTAAGATGCAGACCGCTCCAAACAGCACGAAGTGGACTACAACGCAGGGCATTCTGGGTAAATCCAACCAAAACAAACAAATGAGTCTAAAATCTCATGCTACTTCATTTTTGTTTACATTTTTGCGGTGGTGGAAGATACGCTCAGTGTCTTCTTCAGAGGTTTTTGTGTCGTTTTCTTCAGTGGATCTTGGTACAGCGCCCCCACAGGCGAGGAAGGGAACAAGTCTTTCAATTAGTTTGGATGGTTTGACTTTGTGTTTCAATTTTGGTTCCCTATCAGGTGGGAAAACACATCTGAGATGGAAACCACTCCAAACACCAGGATGCGGACTACAACGCAGGGCATTCTGGGTAAATACAATTAAACCAAATGTATTGATCGCGTGCCAGTGGGAGAAGGAGCTTGGTTTTTTTTGCTTTTTTTTTTTAACCAAAAACAGAAATCTGATGCGACTCTGTTTTTGTGAAGAAGGAAGCGAGGCTCAATGTTTCCTCCAGCGCCCCCACAGGCGAGGAGAGGAACTGATTTTCATTTGTTTAGTTGTTTGACACGGTGACGTCAGCAGGAAAATGTATTTTGTTACCCAATCAAACCGAATCAGGCGTTTTGTGAAGCATCTCTTTTGCAGGCGGTTCCTGCATCCGGAGGAACTTGTGGGGTCTTTTGGGCCCCTGGGTACCCAGAGGCGGGACAAACTGCATCCGGCCCTGGCGTAAAGGTTGACAGAAGGGCAGCATCTGAACTCCTAAAAGTCCAAAAAACGACGTTTGTGTGTCTGTTTGAATGAGACCCAGAGGGTTCTGGGATGAAAACGGAAACGCTTCTCCTCCATCCGTGCAGAATCCTCTCCATCACCCCGCGGCCCTGTCAGGTGTGTGCGTTCACCTGTCTGCCGCGTCCCGCGCAGTCATCCGGAACTCGGCACGCACTCGGTGCGGTTCGGCGCGTCGGTGCGGTTCGGCACCTCGGTGCTGTTCCCGAGCGCAGAGTTGGATTTCCAGAAGAACGCGTAGTAGATGGCCAGGATGAAGGCGGCCACGGACACGCTGAAGAAGTACGCGATGGCCATGGCCACTTTCACCCAGATCTTGGCCGACATGTTGGCGTGCTTCGCCCGCAGCTCTCCGGGGTAACTCGGCCTCCGCTTCGTGTCTCCGTTCGGCGTCTCGGAGGAAACCCCGACCTGCCTGCCGACCGCTTTCATCTCGGAACCAGCGCTGGATTCTGCTCCTCAGGCGGATGCGGTGTGTTCATTGGAGTCCGCGGCGGTCCGGATGGGTCTGCCTCTGGTTCCGGTGCCGGTCGCAGGGCCAGCAGGTTCGGGTTCGGTCCGCTGCAGCTCCGTGACCCCGCAGAGTCCTCTGCGCTCCGGGGAACTGAACTCACTGATGCTGTCCAGGCAGGAGCTGCATGGGACCGCTGTGAAGCTGCGGACAGCCGCACGCACAGCTTCCGGTAAGCGCTTTCAAAATAAAGGCGCGCAGCTGAAACGCGAACGCGACAATATGGGGCTAAATTGGGGGCAAATTACAATATTTTGTTCACATAAAAAATAGTTATACTGACAGAAAAGTTTTGATGCTGAAAAATTATTTTTAAAGAGAAAAAATATGAAGCTGATATAAACTTTAAAAAAATAAGTGAAACTGAAAATAAAATGTTCAAAGCCACTTTTTGAAAAGTAGTTTTAAAAAGTTCGTTTTTTTACATTTCGGATCTTTTTTTCAGCTTCAGGTTTTTTTCTGTTTAATAAACTTTATGGCCCAATTTACAACCAATCAGCATAACAGAAGTTTATTTTGGAAAGAAAAATGTGACATAAAGAAGCATGAAAAACAAAACTGGCTCTTTCTCTATTTTGGTATTTTGCTGCAGTGAGATCCTCGCTTTAAACAAGAAATCCCGATAATGTTCAAGATTTTATTTTGAAAAGCAGCCAGCATCATTTCCTGCCTGGTTCTTTGCGTTCCTGTCCGGCTTGACGCCGTTTGGGTCGAGGAGGAGCTGAAAGGACGCAACATCCAGCGATTGGGCCCTAGTTTGAGAGAAACGTCCCGCAGCAGAGACCAGAACCACAGAGGTTCTGGTTCTGGTTCTGGTTCCGGTCCGGGAGGGAAAACTCTGCAGCAGGGAAAACTGCAGCTGGTTTCTTCAATCATAAAACAGAGAAATCATCTGAGCTCAGAGATTTACTAAATGAACAAACATAAATGTTGCTCCTCATTAATCTGGGGAGGATTATGAAACAATTTATAAACTAATTTTTTATTCTAGGAAGACAAAAACTGAGTCACAAGTTGAAAACATTTTTAACAAAATCAGCTTTTCCAGCAAATTAATTGGGCGATTAATCTGATTAATGATTTAGAAATATTTATAAGGAACTTTTAAGTTAATATAAAACTAAGTTAAACTTTTAATTCCTTATAAAGACAGAGATATTCAGAGAATTACCGTCTTTAATTTCTCCAAACTTTCCGCCCAGAGGGCCGAAGCTAGCAAACAAAAACTACTGATGGGCCACGAAATTCATTTAATTGAAAAAGATAAACAAAACAAGAACTGATTTATTTTTTTTTTAGCTTCAACTGCTTGGCAATTATCAAAATGTTAATGAAATATACAAGTCCATTAAAGATCCAAAACTAATTTGAATCTAATAAACCAGTTACTAATTCATTAGTCATAATAACTATCCTTACATTTGGAGGGAAAACAGGGAAGTTTGAACCATCCTAACTCTGAAGTACGGTGGCAGAAGCGTCATGCTGTGGGCTGTTTTTGCTGCAGCAGTTTTTGCTGCAGCAGGAATTGGACTTTATGAAGTAGACGGCATTATGTGGAAAATACTGAGAAAGTTGAAGCTTCCTGGAGGTTTTTGACTTGGCTTGTTTTCCAGACACCAAAAAACGAGCAAGTGAAGAATGGCTCTTCAAAAATGTCCCAACTGTCCCAAGGTGCTCATCTCGGTCCTGTGGAGAAGTTGTAGCGACCGATCTGCTGTTTGGATGGTGGAGCGTCCAGATTTTTTTCTTCCACCACCAGAAAAACAAGTTTGAACACAAAACTAAAGCAACCGACTGACTTTACATACTGGATTTACCAGGAACAACTGCAGGACATAAAAAAAGAGAGAAACTGCGGCATCTTTGAACCCAAATTCATGATTTTTATTCATCAGATACCAGACACAAAGACTGTAAAGCAATCAGTTTGTCGTTTTGTCCTCAAACGCCACACAGCTGCTCGGATAAAACAACATCTACAGACGAGGAAAAACTCAAACAAACCAAATAAAAACCCTCTTGGTCTGCTGAGGTATGAGGGGAGAGACAAAACACACGTACTGCATCCAACAAAACATCATTTTAAGGAAACTTAAAGTACAAAAACAAACTTCGAGCATCAGAGGCAGTGTTGTTCTTTGCGTCGCTGTGGCAACAAACTCAGACATAATGGATGAAGAGAAAAGAGGAGCCGCTTTAAAGCAAAACACGATTGTTCAAAATTAAAAACATGATTTGATATGATGCAGCATTTCATTAAAAATGTAGTAAAAACAGACTTTATGATTTAAATCCAAGCAACATAATAATCAGCATTTCAGACTCGGACGCCATGTTGCCTCCATTTCCATCAGTTCACATTCAAATCCTTCCAGTCACTTGATCTTATTTACAACATGGATTAATGAGTCAGGTCCCCTTTACTCGCATCCTCCAGGTGGATTTAAAACCAACAATTACGCTTTAACCTGAGAGCGAAGCTTTGAATCAACTAGCTTAGCATCGCTAGCGGCTGCAGGTGACTTCATAACGTCACCAAGCCAGTTTTTTCTGCAAAATTGTGAATAATGTGGTACAATGTGGTCATTTCTAATCTAAATATCTGAATTTAACTCACTTTGCTGAAAATGAGGTTTGACCCAAACTAGATTATATCATTATTTTAGGAAAAGGTGCCAAAAGATGCTAAAAATGCCCCTTTTTACACAGATTTCTGTTCATGAAAGAAATTTGAAGTGAGAAAACGACAAGAGAAATTAAACATTTAAGATTTCAAACCATGATTTGATGTAATAAATGTGGAAAAAACAGATTTTTGTTTCAACAAACCAAATCCAGACTCCAGGTTGACATGTGGTTCGTCTCTCACCGGAGGAAGAAATCCTGGATGAAAACATTCAGAATCCTGGAGAGACAGATGGAGACGATGCTGCGGCGGATCAGATGGAGACGATGCTGCGGCGGATCAGATGGAGACGATGCTGCGGCGGATCAGATGGAGACGATGCTGCGGCGGATCAGATGGAGACGATGCTGCGGCGGATCAGATGGAGACGATGCTGCGGCGGATCAGATGGAGACGATGCTGCGGCGGATCAGATGGAGACGATGCTGCGGCGGATCAGATGGAGACGATGCTGCGGCGGATCAGATGGAGACGATGCTGCGGCGGATCAGATGGATCCAAAGTCTTGAAACCAGCTGAGAGTGACCGGTTGGTCCGTTGTGTGAAGCTCCGCCACTCCTCTTCCTCATGATGATGATGATGATGATTAAAGTCATATTTAGACGTAAACCTCGGCGCCCCCAGTGTTTTGCTCCCTCTCCTGTCCGTCTCAACCTGTTGGCAGAAACATAAAGAAAAGGATAAGATGGAGAGAAAAACTCAAACTGATGTTATTAATTATTAATTAATCATTAATTAGTTGTGATTAATTTGATTTCTTGTGATTAATGAATGGAGTAATTGTGATAAATCGTTATAATTGGATTAGTCATGATTAAAACCATTAATAGATGGTAATTCATTGGTGATTAATTGGATTGGTAATTTGCTGAAACAGCAATAAATTTAGTAATTAAGCCAAAAAAACTGTACAAAAGATACAAACGTTTTGCAATTAAGATAAAAATAAAGTTCGACCCAAAACAAAAAGATTCAGTTTTAGCTTCTCTTGGTTCAAATTCTGCATAAAAAAATGTATTGAGTAGCTTCTGCTATCAAATCAATAATCAGATAATCAAAACAATCAATACAGATTCACTGTATTGATACGTCAAGCAGAGAACTGAGCTGTTGCTTTTAATGACTAACTGTTCACTAAACATTTGTTATTTAACAATGAATTGCATTATTACTTACAATGTTTTTCTAATATTGTATTTTAAAAAAAGCTTAAGGATTTAATGAAAAATCTGCCAAGTTTATTTATCAAAATGATTGATTAATGGTCAGAAGAATCGATTAATGGTCCTGAAGAAGTCTGATTTTAGCATCCAAGTGTTTTCAGATGCAAATAGAGAGAATCAGAGTAAATGAAGCCGCCGAGACGAATGAATGGGTGACAGACTTTAAAGGAACAGTTTCACTCATTTTCTTTGCTGCTTCAAACGCCACTGAATCCTCAGCTGAATCAGGGCGGACCAAACTCTGTCACCAGGGCCAAAACGGACCAATCAAAATGAGTCAGGGGCCAAAAAGCAAGGAACAAAATACTGACTTTCTCACCCAGTGAACAATAAACTCGTTGCAATAATTGAATTAAATAGTGGGAAAATAATTCTGTTCATTTTTAAACGTCTTTATCTTAGAGTCATCAATATGTGACAAACTGAGTCAGTGCGATTTAAAGTCCTGCTGGTCAGAATAATTTGATGCTGATATGTTAAGAACTCACGTATTTCAATTATTCAAGTATTTTCTATAAAAATTATGCAAAAGTATAACTTTTAACTTCCAAGTTTTGCTTTATTTTTCATATTGGAGTTCTCATAAAATTAATACTTTGTGGTCCGAATGTTACGCCTTAATGCTGGTGTAATTATTACTTTATAATTGCAATATTACGATTTAATTACAGTGTAATAAACAGTAATAAATCTTACTTTATTGTAGAGCTGACCTAAATTTGAAGTCCAAATAGATGGAAGCTTCTCAAACAAGATGGCCGACCAATATGTGGAAACCCAAGCAGTGAATTGGTGGAAAAAATGATTTTTTCAAAATTAAATCTTCAGAAACCAAAATAGCGATTAATAAAACAATTGATTTACCGCTCTGCCTTTATAAAACCTATAAATCACCTTTAAGACTTTTTATTCAGTTTTTCATTCTCTCTGATAAACGGTTAGCTACTTTAGCTGGGAATCGTCAGAGCAACCAATGTCTCCCCTGCTGAAATTGGATTTGGGGCGACATTGTAGCGTTTGCTTTTTATTTTTGTTCCTGAAAGGGTTTTTTGTTTTTGTGTACGGTCTCCTGTCGCCGCTGCCGTGTCGTGCAGCAGGAAGCATCAGAAACACGAGGAGATTTAATTCAATCGGGCTGGAAACGCCTCGCTGGTCTCTGCGCCGCCGCCGTCGCTCCCGCAGGCTGCAGCTCATTTCCTCCAAACGAGCCGTTTAAGAGCTTTAATTGTGCCTCTGATTTCCCTGGTTTCCTGATCCCCGCCCCGATCGCAACACGCATAACACACACATGAGCTCATCTGACTTCTGCTGGTAATCACACACCAGTTACCAGAAGCGAAAATGCAATCAGTGTTCCTCCTTATTCTGGAGAAAATCAAACAATGGCCGACTCGGTTTCACAGTTTACATGTTTTAAGACTCACATTTTTGTCAGTGAGTAAATATTGAGAGAGTCGTTTGGAAAAAACATAAAAATGGCTCCTGAAATGTTTAAGTTTTTAATATCTTACAAATTATTCGGACCTGAAGATCCATTAATTATTTATTTCAAAAAATAAATCAAGTTGAAAATAAAACAAAACCAATTAAAATGTGTGACTTTGACATTTCATAGTAATTTATTGATAACTTTAAATTTGCCATATTGCTTAAATATTTAACATAATGTATCATTGGTTGTAAATTAGAAATAATCAAAATAAATACTAATTAAATGATCTAGAATATCTTTAAAAGACCTATTATGCATTTTGGACATGTCTCTGATTTCCTCTGGGTTTCTATTGCTCCTAAAAACAGCCTGGGCATAAAAAAGAAAAACACTCGGCTGGTTTTTGGCAATAATTTTGTGTTTTTTGGTGTCTGGAAAATGAGCCATTTGAAAAACCTCTGGAACGAAACGACACAAATGAGCAAGCGCTGCGCCGTTACCTACCAACCCCATCCAAGCTCCAGCATGTTTGGTGAGCTTGTTTTACACTGCAAAAACAAAAAATCCTACCAAGAATATTTGGTGTAGTTACTAGTGCAAATATTTTAAGATTCTTTAAATAAAACAAAACTAACTTAACAGTGACTTCAGCAAACAGGAGTTTGAAGCTATCATCCAAGAAAATGTAACAAATATGTTTTTAATAGACCTTAAACCTATCTTAACCTTAAAGGAAGCACAATGAGTCACCTTTAATTATTTAATTTCCTCATTTATAAAGTTTTTCTCTGGGTTGCGTTATGAGGTCGCGGTTTGGGACGAGCCGGTACTTCAGGCTCGGAGAGCGGGACTGACACTGATCTAGTCTAGATGACGGCTTCGGTCTGGAGATTCCTCCACAGCAATCAACTCCTTTTTTGGACAAGCTGCTGCCTGAGCTGACAGGATCTATTTTAGACCCGACAGAGAAAACAGAAACAGCAGCTAAAGACAACGACACTTAATCCAAAGCCGTTTCATGTACAGTAAATCTGTCCGTTTGTAAAATATAACTTCATCTATTTTGTATTTCAACTCAGCGTAAAGAGATTATACATTTTCTTGAACACGTAAATAGTAAAAATCACAGAAAATGCTTGATTTAGTTGAAGCCAACCTAAAACGGTGAATAAAAAGCAACGAGGGAAACGTCCACTTGACTTTCAGGCTGTTTTCACACCTGACATTCTGGTTGATTCAGTTTTATTTGGGAACAAAGCTGCAACATTTGTTCCATTTTTAGTTGTCGTGGTTCCATTTCTCTCTAAACTGAGTCAAACCAATCAAACCCTTTGAGCAACCTGTTCCCCTCCCCGCCTGTGGGGGCGCTGCACCAAGAATCACTGAAGGAAACGACACATCCTCTGGAAACGCTGAGTGCAACTTCCTTCTCCAGAAAATGTAAATAAACATGGAGTAGCATCAAATTTTAGGAGTTTTTGGCCACACTAGCGTTAGATTTCCGATGTATCGGCACCAACATCGGTATCGAACGATATTATTCATTTTTTAACGTATTGGTATTGGCCTGATAAATAAAACTGAGCCGGTACCAACAACTGATATTCATTTCCATCTTGTTATATTAACATCAGATATCGAATTCGGCTCAGATTTCCATATCCAGGCGAACCACACATTATTTATTTTAGCATCTTTTAGGGTGGAACTGCGAAAAGATGCAACGCGTATAATTGTACTCATTTTAAAATACATGTAAATGTAAAGAGAATTAATTTTACCTTATTATTCATTAAAAAAAAAACAGTACAAAAGGCTCATTTGGTTTCCGATTCATGTCCTTTTACGGTTTTCTTTTTTATGCTGCAAATATGTAAAACCGAACTTTTCCATTAGCTTAAGCGACGACAGAGAGGACAGGAGCTAAACGGCTGTAAATAGAGGGATAATGACTGCAGCCTGTGGTTTATTCACTTAGCTCCACTTTCAAACCGCAGCGCTGAGACGACGGAAATGTGAGTGGATTATTGATTCCAACAGGATGAGTGATTCCCATTCCCAGTGGAGCCGCTCTGCAAATGGACACACTAACGATTTATGGAAAGCATCGGGACTCAAGGAGCTCACACACAAACACGAGACACTAAACGGGGAAATGACCAATAAAGACGTTTGTTTCTGAACGATTTAAACAAAAAATAGATTTGATTCAAAACATACAAGCTTAAAAGTTAGGGTTGATATTATTCTGAATTGATTTAAACCATTGTATCCTAATAAAATAGAATACAATATGCTTTATTGATCCCCAAGGGGAAATTGCTTATTAGTTGACAAGCTCTCCATTCAACATGTTAAATATTGATGATACAAATATAAACATAAGCAATAAAATGTATAAAATATCTTTGTATCTAAGAGTGACTGAATGTAAATAAATTAATAAAATAACAAGAAGAAAATTAGATTTAAGTTGCCCAACCTTATTTTGGTTTCTGAAAATAAGAACTCCTCCTCCGTTCAGGGGTGTCCAGACTTTTTACACAAATGGTCAAAATCAGCTTGTTGAAATCATTCAGGAGCCAAAATGTGTTTTTATTTTTGTTTTAAATTAAAAATGTAAAATAAGAATTGCATTTTAATTAAAAAAAATAAACAGGTCTGAAAAATGTTTAAAATTTGCACCGTTTCCTTTGGGGTTTATTTTTCCCCAGCAATAAACTGAGAGCCGTTTTTGAAAACTACAAACTGTATTTAATTATTGGATTTTTTACCGTTTGAGAAAAAAAATGCTGGAGATTTTTTAAATGGCATTTTTACTAACATTAAAAAAAAACACTTATTTGTACAATTTGTTATTGAAAATATGATTCAAAGAAGCAAAAAGTTCCCATTTGTTGGCATTTAAATAATTTCCAAGCTGCATCCAGGGGCCGCAGAAAATTACAGCAAGTGCTGCAAATGGCCCCCTGGCCTCAGTTTTGGACTCTTCTGATTTAGTCCCTTTTCAATGCAGGAAAAGCTGAGTGGAGTTTATTTAATTCTCTTCAGGATTAATAAAGTATTTTTGAATTGAGTTGCATTTGGGCTGATTTTTGTTTTTACTGACTCCATGTTACTGCTGTCAGTAGTTATTGTTGACAGTTTTTACTCTCCGTATCGTCTATGAACTTGCTGAATAAGGGGCTTTTGCAGACTGCTTTATCCCTCATTTCTCAAGTTTCAACTGTACATCTCTTAGTTTTTATGTCTTTCTTTCTGTAACATTATTTGCTGTTTTGGACTCAAATGAACCAGAAGTCAGAGAAAAGCTTCCCAACCTGATGAAGTTTGATCTGAGGAAAGTTCGGCTTCGGCTGCCGGGGCGTCGTCGCTCCCAGCAGGCGGCGTGTCGTCTTCGTTCTCTACCGGCGCGTCAGAGGAAATCTGTTCGCCGTTAACGGACTCAGCAGGACGGGGAGGGTCCGACTGGCCCTCTGACAGAGAGAGACAGAAAACAAGTTGCACATATCACACAATCGTATCTAAAACACAGTGTCAGGATAAGAAATTAGTGTTTAATTACAAGAATAAAATCATAATTTCAAGAGAATAAAGTCACACTGAAACGACGATAATCGTAATATTACAAGAAAAAAATCAAAATAATGAGAACAACATCAGAAGTTGGAATAATACAAGAATAAAGTCGTAATAATAGGAGAAAACAGCTATAATATTATGCAGATCGATCCAACCGACCTCCTCCCTGAGCTGTTACTGCTGTCTGAAGAAACAACCAATCAGAGCCAGGAGGCGGGGTTTAGGGCTGTCAATCATCCTCGCATACCCTGCTAAATGTGCTAACGCTAACTAGCATTAGCATTCATGACAGGCTCCGATATTAGAAAGAAGTAAATGGGAAGCCTGTGAGCAGCGCGTACATAAAATTTATTGACAGCATTAAGACCCTCCTCTTGCCTCTGATTGGTTGTTTCTAGGCAGACAAACTCAGTTTTTTTAATGTTTATTTGTCTCAAATTGTAATTCAAAAATACTTTATTGACTCCGAAGGGACATCAAATAAAACTAACAATATTTTTAACAAATTCGCACCGTACAGCAGCTTTGATGTTCTTCAGGTTGAGTTGTGGCTGTTAGATGTTTTACCTTCTGATGGAGCAGGAAGTGGATTCGGGTTGGATGTCACGGCGACCTCGTCGACCTGAGGAGCAGCGGAGGACGGGGCGAGGTCCGAAGCTTCAGGCGGAGGTTCTGAGGCGGTCTGTTCCGGTTCTGACTCGGTGACGTTCTCCTGGGTGTCCGCCACAGGAGCAGATTCATCCGTGGGCGCCTCGCGCGGTTCGCCGGCGCCGCCATCTTGGCTCTCCTTTTTCTGCGGTGGGCTGGACTCGGAGCTGGAGGGCTTCAGCGGGCTCTCCGCCCCCATGCTGCTTCGCGGCGACTGCATCTCCATCTCCTCGCCCCAGTCCGACACTGGGCGGTGGCTCTCCAGCGAAAAGCAGGGGCTGAGGGGCTTCCCCCCGTCTGATGACTCCTGAGCCGCCGCCGCAGCAGGAGGAGGGATTCGGACCTTGGGCCTCGGCGCCCGCTGCTCCTTCGGGCTTCCCGCCGTTTTCTCCTGCAAACGTTGTTTGGCCGACGGAGAAGAGACGGCTTTGCCCTTGTCTTTTTTCTCCGAGTTGCTCCTGTCTCCGGCTTCCTCCTCTTCGCTGGTGTCCTCCCACTCATCATCATCGTCTCCTGCCTCGTCTTCGTTTTTCTCTTCCACCTGAAGAAAAAAAAGAGGATAAATTTGGAAGAAAGTTTGGCCTCGTGTACAATTAGCTCCAGCTGGACCCGCTTACCTTTGGCTCTTCTGTTTCAGCTTTGGGTTTCTCTTCTTCTTTCTTTGTTTTCTTTGCTGCAGCTTTCACCTCATTCTTTGTCTTGTCCTGCTTTTCTTTCTCCTCTTCTTCTTCTTTCTCTCCTTCCCAGCGGTTGTCGTGCATGCTTTCAAAAAGACCGAAAAGGAAACAGTCAATCACCGTAAACGGCGTAGCAACAGTTTCTGCTAAATACTGTGTTGGCGTAATGCTTCAGCTTTAGCATAACTAATGTTTGGCATTGGTAAATGCAAACAATTTTGATTTTGTTGAATAAAATTCTTCTTTTTTCCCCACACAAAATACCCTGGAACTAAGGCTACGCTCACCAAATTTAGCTCAAGCTAAATCAAAGCATCTTTTATGAATGTTTTCTGCACCTTGTCCCAGACGACGGCGCAAGATCAGAACCTTCAGATGGAGGTTTGTGTTGACATGTTGCGTTTGGTGTGGGAAGGTTTCTGGACTCACCTGTAGCTCTGCCTCTGTCCTCGGCCCCGTCCTCTGCTCCGGTCCCCGCGGGGCCCCTGGCTTCTGCCCTGGGACAGGAAGTCACCAAATGTTGGTCCTCTAGGAGGCCGCTTGCTGTCGTCTGCTGGAAATATCACAGCAAGATAAAGCCAAACCCGACTTTTTAATATGAATGACTTTTTTTTAAAAGCCCAAAATGCTGCACAAAAATAGAAATCAGGAGGTAAAACACAAAAACAACCAGGACATTAAAGGAAGCAGGTCAAGCCAAACGAGATTAAAGAAAGATTTTAAACACAATTATACAGCGATTCAGAACAAGCTTGGATGCGTGTAAATATAGAAAACTCCAGCCGTTAGCTTTCGCTAACTTTGAAAAACATTAAAGTAGTTAAATGTTCACATGCATGCTCTTATTTTGAAGTAGGTGGAGACCGTTTACGGTGCGGTTTCATTTCCTCTCCTCAAGTCCTTGGCATGTAGAGGAGCGAATGCCATTTATTCTGTACCCAGAATGCATCAGTAAACAGCTTAAAATCTACTAGCGTCCTGCTGGTTGCCAACTGAAGCCCTACTGCGGTCAGTTAGGCAACATCAGCAACATAGCTAGCAAAACAACATGGCCTCGGATCTTGAGGTGAAATAAACATGGTGGAAATTAGCACCATAGCATTAGCTATTGATAAATACCATGATAGCATACAACCTTAGCATTAGCTTCCACTCAATACCCTGTTGTTGTAGCTCTTTAGGATTAGCTTCTGCTACCATGACAGTGTAGTAATTAACATTAGCTGCCACTGAATACAATATTGTAGCGATTTAGCGCTAGATTCTTAAAAGTACCATATTAGTGTAGCACTTTAGCGTTAGCAGAACAAATGTTTTAGTACTGGTAAACACAAATACTAATACATGTCCCGTTTTAGACAACCAAATAAACTGAACACAGAAGGCTAATGCGGCCGAAATCAGATTTTTTCATGGTTTTACCCTCTTTCATGGAGACTTTAATGAACGTGAAAACATCGGTTTGAAAGGCAACGCTAGTGATGGACGCCACTCATTATCAAGCAGAAAGGAAAGCTGGCATCTTTTATAAAAGCTCCTCCGATAACAGAACGACTGAAGCTCAATGCTGAAGCTAATTTGGACCGTGGGGAAATACAGCAAGCGTTTATATAAGCAGCTTAATTAGCTGGAGGAAGGAGTGAAGTTGCTAGAAAGTGTGTATGTGATGGAGGGTCAATGGCTGTTGCGTAAGAAAAGAAGCGGCCTGTTTGGGTCGACTTGCCTCTCCTGCCACCCTCCTCTGCTGTTACGCCCTCTGCAGCCACATGCGGATCCTCCTTGAACCTGAAGACAAAGCCACAGGGGGAAAAACACAGACGTCTTAGCTTGATTTATTTTATTTATGGCTTATTTCAGTTTGGAAGAATGAGCCAGACCGTGCCTTAACGAGGTAATTGCAAGGCTACACAGCGAGGGCAACGCGACACTGCAAGACCACCTCGCTCTTCATGACCGACACAACCTTTCTGCTGGATTAGCAGAACATTTAGAAATCTCCTTCAGTAGAAAAACACTTTGTACATTACTGAACGCCGAGCTCCTCGCTACTTTTAGCCCGTTGGCATCAAACTAGCAAATCTTATTTACTTTCAAGCAATTCTCTGCCGTTTTATAACTTTATAATTTGCTTATGTGACGTCAGTACCAGGTTTCAGCTGCTAAAATGTGTTTATTCATTAATAGTATGTTATTTATACACCAGTAACAGAGACAGTAAAGAGCAAAAGATTATGACCACAAGCCTTTCTGCAGCTGAAAGCAATTGTAGGAATGAAGAAAAACTACAATTTATTTTGGGCTGTTTCATGATCATGAATGTCATTAAAGGGCCAGTTGTGCCATATGTATTGATAAAACCCATTAACAAACCAGTAAAATATGAATAAATATCTGCATTTCCTTAAAATTAATATTGAAAAATTTTTCTTATTGATTATTCCCTCTAGATTTTTACCAATTGCCGATTATCGATATTTAATAAGACTGAGTTGCTGGTTACAATTTTGACCAACAGCGATTTTTTGTCTGAAATGTTGCTAAATATAGCAAGAAAGTTGCTGAATTGGTAACAGTGGAGTGACTGTTGTTAACTGTAAACCAGCAGATTTAACCTGGTTCTTGTGTAAGTATCGGCTGATCACTTTGATGAACTTTTAATTAATTACAACTAGGGACGCACAAATACAAAAAATTATCTCAATATTCATATCCAATATTAATATTGCTGTTATGGCCGATAACCAATATTTTATACTGACACCTTTGGAAAAAGATAAAAATAAGCTGAGCTTTATTTATCACACTGATGCCGATTTGTTAAAAAATGACTAATCTCAGCCGATACCAATGTTGGTGCCGATATATCGTGCATCCCAATACAACATATACTTGTAACTAGGGACAGGGTGAACAAATAAAAACTGTTTTGATTTTGATTCAAATAATCTTGAAACACACAACTGTTATCTTCAAGGTTCATGTAGAGCCGTGACGACCACATAAAAAGTGACGGTGGACCGAATTTGGCCCCCGGGCCTGGAGTTTGACACACGTGAAGCCGTTCTTACATGCTGTCAGTCTTCTGCGCGTCCCACTCCCGCCTCCACTGGCCCGTGGCGTTTCGGTGGCGTGCCAGTCTCTCCTCGTCGATCTGCTCGCGCTCCTTCTTCCAGCGGAGGTACTCTGATCTCTCGCGGCCGGTCATCGACATCGTCATGTCCACAGAACCTCCTTTCGGACCCGGCCGCCGACTCTGTAACGGAGCGACGGAAAACAGGGCGGCGTTAAAATACCAAAGGTTTATCGTTTAACCACGGTTCAGGATCACATGAACGACTCACGGTCCACTCTCGCTCCAGTTCGTGTCCCGTTTTCACGTTGTCAAAGTCCAGCCCTCCCCAGTTCCGGACGTGTCTCCTGCTGCCTTCTTTCCGGTCAATGTCTGGAGCCGGACCCGAACGCCTCGGGTCATCCAGAAAATTACGGATCGGCTTGTCTCCATCCACCTGAATTACAGACCAAACCCTTTAATCTGAGACTCAACAGAATAAAATCAGAGATTAAATCCGGCGGCTCGGATACCCTCTGCCCTCGTTCGTACTCTGCTATCCTCTCCATCTCCTCATTCATCTTCTCAATGTTCTGCCGCCTTTTCTCCTCCCATTCCTGGCATTTTACAAATACAAAACGTCATCATTCGAACAGGAGGTAAAATATATTTATAATTATATAGATTCTGGGATTTCTCTGGGTTAAAACAACCAGATAGATGACATTTTCTAACTGAACTGGTTCCAGTTTATAATAAAACTTCCACTATAGTGGCTGTAACTAAAAACAAATGCAAATTTAAAACAAGTTTTTAAGGAATAATTGCATTGGACAACACTGACGCTAAAAGTATGTTTTTTTTCCATAAAAGTTTAACGTATTTCTTCATTTGAAAGCCTTACAAAGTAGATAAAAATGCTTGTCCACTAATAAAAACATTAATCTTAGTAAATATTCTATTAAAAAAACTTAAGTTATCTTTTTTAAAAAGGTGATGTAACTAAGCAATGCTTATTTACTTAGAGGAACTGATTTCTATCAATATCAAACAAACATCAACAATCAAATCTTTGTGTAAAATTGCTTGGTTGAATCAAAAAAGAGTCCAGCTGTGCATCATTCCCACCAGTCTGTTTGGTCCACATTAATCAACCTCCAGTCTGTTTGCCTAGTCAAAGTCCGGTTCGTTTTCTGGTGCAATACAAACAATCAAACTCTGGTCTGCCTTAAAACCTCAGTCTGGGTTTGGTTGAACTCTGGTTTAAAGCCAAGCTCCAATCCCGCTCCAAAAGCAGAAAGTGGGCTACAGCGCAGGGCATTCTGGGTAAATATAACCAAAACAAACATGCTAGCCTAGTGCTAGCAGGAGCAGATTTTAGCCAAAGACTAACAAGGAATCCTTCAACCAGTAAAATCTGATGCCATCCTGTTTTAGTTTCTATTTGGTGAAACAGGAAGTTGCTCTCAGCATCTCCAGAGGTTTTTGTGTCATTTCCTTCAATGATTATTGGTGCAGCGCCCCCACAGGCCAGGAGGGGAACAGCTTGGTTTGACTCAGAACCACAGCAGCTGGAGGTGGAGCAGATGATGGAACTTTGGTCCCAACAGAACCGAGTCTATTGGACTATCAGGCTGGGAAACAGCCTGGCCTAAGTTAACCAACTGGAACTAATTTTAAATGAATAAACCATTAACTGACAATTCAGCATAAGTTGATCCTTTGTTTGCATCGAGCCATAACCTCAATATTAATATCGCCTCATGTTTTCATATCTTTGCATCCATATAAATAAACTTTGCCTTTCTCACCTTGGACTTTCTGTCCATTCCTCCTGGTGTACCTTCCTCTCCGCCTCCGTTTCCTGCTCCTCCTTCTCTTCCTTCTCTTCCTCCTCCTCCTCCTCCTCCTCCTCTCCCGCCTCTTCCTCCTCGTCTTCCTCCTCTCCGTCCCTGGCCGCCTGGCTCAGCAGACTCTCCCTCCCTGGGAGTTCTGGTCTCCCGGTCCCTCCTCTCTTGGCGTCCTCCTCCTACTCCTCCTCTCTGACCGCCTCGGCCCACTCTGCCCGACCCCGTCCTCCTGGGGGGACTGCGGCCATCGCTCTGACCTTTAGGACTGTCGCTCTCCTCTGATTTCTTCCGGCTGCGGGGCGTACTGGGGTTCCAGTCGTTCACAATTCTCTTGTCCTGCTGCAAACAAACACAATACAGGAACAGATGTACACAAATCCAAAATAATCACCTTAACACAATGTTTACGGGCAAATCGGTTCTATTGATTTCAGTTTAAAATTGTGAACTTTCAGCAGAAAACGTTTCTGAAAGCCAGAAAAAATGATGGAGCACAAAATATTGGAGCACAAAATATTTTTTCCATCATTTAAAATGCTCTAGCTTTTTTGTAACATGGTTAGTTAGGACTGAAAAACGAATATAAGAGTCTCACATCAGTTCATATTGATAATTACTGATTAGTTCTGTTTTAAATGTCTGAAACAGGTGACATTTTCACTCTCACATAAAAATGGCTGTTAAAAGATTCACAATTATACACCGTACATCTTTTGAAAAGCAGAAGTGGGGCCTCCTGCACAACCTACAACCACTGGACTTGCATCCAGTGGTTTCTGAATGCAAGTCAACAACAAAACTCTTCTCTCTTCCAGCAGCCATTGTACTGCGCAGACAGCACTAAAACCAGCTGACCAAAAATGCTGGAACTCAGCTTGGATTGCTAGGTAACATCCGGAACTCTCCTGGGGTTGCTAGGTAACGGGCGGAACTCTGCTGGGGTTGCTAGGTAACGGGCAGAATCCTGATTGTTGCATCAGGAGGTTTTGAAATGGCTCGCTTTTCAGACACCATTAAGCGCTTGGGTTGTTTTTATACCTACTAGAGACACAAATGAAGTTAAAAAATGTGTAAAATGGAGGGATTAATTAACCTTTTTTTTCTTGTTTTTTGTTTTGTTTGTTTTTTCATATATTATTCTATGTCGGATAAACACTTCTTTGTATTCGCAAACTGTATGTATGAATGGAAAGAAAAAAACCTCAATAAAAATACAGTGATTAAAAAAAAAAAACTTGTAAAATGTGAATTTGACAAGGTAGGTCCCCTCTGAAAATGAGTTCAAACATTTATTTTTGGATTGTAAAGGTTGAAGACCCCTGCTCTACCAGGTCCAGTTGACACAAATCAAATCTGTCTGAACTAACCCCACAGAGAGGAAATACAAACTCAAACTCATTTGCTGATGTTTAGGAAACACAAGCCTCGTTATGTTCCAATTCATCCAGACCAGGTGGCCGTGGATTTCAAAGACCCGTTTCAGTAGAGAATAATTTCATAAAGTCCATAAACACGAAGGAGGAGAATAGTTCAGCAGGAGTGGAAGTGAATTTCCTGGGATAAATCAGTTTGGGTGAGCCGGTGGTCTGAGTCTTTAACTTTTAATATGTTTTAACTACATGACTCAACATTATTTCATCCTCTGGGAAACTCTGACCCAGCAGGTCTCAAACGCCGACCCACTGGACCTTTTTAAATTTACTTGTGAAATTAAAATAACTAACAGCTTGTATTTATCTTTATAAAACATATTCAGTCAGTATTAAGCATATAATATTGATATGTAAAAATGGGTAACTAGCAATCACAACATGTTTATTCCACGCAGTGACCAGCAGGTGGCAGTGTTGGGAAATGAGCCGCAGTACCAACACTTTGGGAACATTTTGAATTGAAGAATTGAATTATTGTTGTTTTTCTGTTTCGGTAATATAATTTGTGGTGATTAATGTGAAGCGGCTGTCAGTGAGAAGCAGGCCTGACCCCTGCCGGTTTGGACAGATCCACTGTGACCGTCAGGTTCTCCTTCTCCGTCTTCCTCCTCTCCGCTTCCGGCTCATGTGTCCGGGGTTTCCGGGGCGTCGTCACAGCGATGCCTTCCTGCTCCGCCTTCTTCTTGTCTTCCTCAATTTCCTTTTGGGACCAACAGCAAAATTACTAGCCCCCCCAGAAAAACCATTAAATCAACTTTATACGTTTTTAAAGGTAAGCCTGCATAAACTACAGGCTTATTATAGTTGTAGTTCATGCTCTTTCCCAGAGAGATGCTTTCTCTACGGGAAACAGAAAAGATCTCTGCTGACGAAAATCGTCAGATAGTGACAAGATATGAAAACATGAGATATTGAACAAAAACTGAAGCGTTATCGTACTGTGGAGAGATTTGTGTCTGATTCAGAACAAAGATGGGTTTGTACAGATAAAGACTAATGAGGAAGGTTTCTGTTAGACAGATTCATGGGATTAAGAGAGCAGCTGTTAAAATGCCCTTATAGAGCAGCAAACAGTGATTAGAAGCTGCTGGAGCCTTAAGGTGGAGGATCCTCCAGATACTTGCATTGCGAGTTTTTTATTTTTGAGAAAAAATACTGTTCATATGGGGAGCTTTGTTCAGTAAAATTTGATTTATACTGTAATAGTTCATGACTTGAAAATCATACTGACCATTATCTGTCTATCCGTCTGTATGTATGAGACTTAATTCGGTGTATTTAAAGTACTTTTTACAGCCTAAAATTAAGATCATAACTTTATAAGAGTCTGTATTTACCATGACAATATGTGGTATGTCCATGTTAAATAATTTCTTCCTACCTGGTACCTCTTCACCAGAGCTTCGTTCTTCTTCCTCAGAGCTTCAATTCGTTTGTCCAACTCTGCATCTTTCTCCTCCTTGGTCTTCAGGTCCACCGCTGAAGACTGAGAGGAGGGAAAATCAGTGAATTATGAGATGAAAACTTATCCTAAAATACAGTTTGTGGGGATGGATTTTCATCCATCATATCCCACGTTCATTGTTTTTTTTTTCTTCTCTCTACTTACCATAGCTGCCTTGGACTGTGACTTCAAATACAAGTGAAAAACCTGGTTCTGCAAAATAAAAATAAAAAATTTTAAAACTAGATTTTATTTAGCTAACATTATGAGCTAGGTTACATCATCTTTTCTATCAAGGTGATATAACCGGCCGGAGGGCCAAATCTGCACCAGTTTCCAACTGCAGTCAGAGGCCAAACAAACTCATTCTTAGGGGCACTAATGGCCCCCGGGCCGCACTTTGGACACCCCGATGTTAGATGAACATTTAACGAATGTAGTTAATGGATACGTTTTATGTTGAAAGAAGTGAATTTGTAAAAATGTCTGAATTGGTTTGCAATCATTCATTTTCATTTTATCCAGTGAAATATTAGATGTGTTTTTACACAGCAACCCACATGAATAAATCCTTCATGCGTTTCCAAAGCTTCTCTAAGCGTCTTAGAGCTGCGCTCACATTCAAAATAACTGAGCCTCCGGGGTCACACACAGTCTCTAACGGGTACAGACCCTCAATAAACCCGTGTTTTGTTCTTCATAATCAGCAACAGTAATATATTTGTTAGTCTACATGTAATTCTGGCAACATGAGCCATGTCTGAGCAGTTTCAAACCGACAAACCTCCATTTAAACCAAACGCAAACGTCAACAACACCGATAAATGAAAGTCAACACGCGTTTATATCTGTTAAAGTCACTCGGTTTTCATATTTACATTTTGTAAGGAGCGTTTAAAGGCAGCTAAATGCTCCTCGGTGTCTTCATTATTGGTTATGAGCTAGCTTCAGCTAACTTCCTGCCAAATAATGACCCGCTCGGCAGATTTAAAGGGGCAGTGCTGTTCGTTAGCCGCCGGCGATACAAACACGGACACTTATTACTGCAACGGCAGAAAAAAAACGGAGTGTTTCAAATTAATTTGAACGGTTGGAAACAAATATAAAATGCAAGAAATAAAAAAAAAATAATAAACTACATGTAATGATATATTTTGACAACTAGATGGCGGGAGAGGCTAGCGACTAAACTTCACCTGACGAAGCAAAGGTAGTCTGGATAAAAGGTGCCCCCCCAGTTCTTAAAGGTACACACCACAAAAAATGTCTGATACGCATAAAACCTACATTTATTTTAGTTTTAAAAATTCTACAAAAGATGGAATAATGGTACAAAAAAAAACATAATTCAGCAAACATTTGTATTTAAAATCTCCAGAGAAACAATACTAAGAATCACAGTAAATTCTGTAAAAGGAAGAAAAACATGCAACACTCCATCGCAGAGCTAAGCTTTAATTTTATCAAATTTACAATAGTCTTTATTTGACTTTCTGATTGTGTTTATCACTTAACACAGTCAGTATTAAGTGATAAACACTTAAGCTGACTGTTAAGGATTTATTGGAGAGACACTCAGGCAGAAAAAAAACAGTTTTTCTTTTGTAAAAGGAGACACGTTTTAGCGCTGCCCTGAAGGTAAAGACCTAAACAGTTTGTGTCCAGGATGTGTGTGGTCTGCAGAGATGTTCTTTTTCTTTATGCTAATTAACAGAGGTCATATTGTGACCAGTCAGCTAAAGCAAATTCTATCGAGCAGACAAAAAGAAAAAACAGAAATGTAAATATTTTGAGAACATATTTTTCAACATAACAGAAAAAAATTAAAGTGGAAAATGTAACGACATCCAACGATTTCTTTCTAGTTCGTAGCTGTTGTGAAGTTGTGCTACCATACCTGCTATCAGATTGATAGCAGGTATCAGATCGATTTGTTTATCAGATCGATAGCAGGTATGGATATAAGTACACAGATGGATAAATAGATATATTTGTAGCATAGAAATAGCTCATAAGACAAAGAACAATAGTATTTACTTCTGTCACAATGAGTAAGCCTTTTTCATTAGTCTCCACCTGGAGGGATGAAGCACCTATTATGAGTCTAATCAACCTGGACAGAGAAAACCACAAGGTGGATAAAGCTGATTATTTGATTAAAAGGGACTCAGTACAAAAAATTTATTTCTCAAAAGCAGCTGCAGTATTTTAAGAGGCTTTAAAATGCCACTTATTTACCTCTCAGCATCAACGCCGTCTCATGTAAACAACCACTATCATGTGGCCCAGTTTCAGCAGGGACAGTCAAAACAAACAGCCAGCTTGTTGTTAGGCAGAGCACTGAGTAATGACCACGCAGGATTTGCTAATCGCCTGATAACATCTTGAAACCAGAGCTGCTGTTTCTGCACCATCATATCTGAGGAGACCTGCCGCCTGCGTTCAGGTGCAGACAGGTGAGGAGACGTGTCAGACAGCAGCATAGATTACTCTGATAAGACTATTGTCACCGACAGAAGCCGGTTTTTCTCCAAATGCAAATAAATTCAACACAACCACACAAGGTTTATAATTTAAACTACATGTGTCACAATTGTTATGAAAGACTTTACTTTAAAATCGATTAAAGGTAAGTATAGTTCCCACAAATTGTACTTAAGGAAAAGTACCAGTATTTCAACATATTTTTATGCAAGTAAGAGTAAAAAAGTATTTGTTAAAAAGTCTAGACGAGTACTGAGTAATTTGTCCACCTGATAATGACATCACCAGGTGGACAAACATATAAAGTTAAGTGAAATTTTTGGTGTTTTAAGAACAAAAATGGCAATAATTTCTTAGTTTAAGTAACAAAAAATAACATGAAAAATTTTCCAAATCAGTTGCTTTTGATAAAAAAATGTATGAATCTTGAACAGAATCTGCAGGTGAGAATCTGAGTCTGGTGAATTTTTGGGTTGTTTTTCATTAATGGGTAGAAAATCCAGAGATTTTACTGAAGTAAGAGACAAAATACTTCATAATAAAATGAATGAAGCAAAAGTAAGAAGTGCACCGTGGCAAAAATACAACAAAAAGAAAATTTTTTCCCCCTAAAAACTTACTCAAATAAATGTAATTGATGAATGTGATTAGTTACTACCCGACTCTGAAGTTGTTTAAAGCTGCAGCATGCAACATTTATTCAAAACCATGTTTTTTCCATATTTGTTAAAACTGTCACCAAGTTGAAACAGTTTATGAGGCAGATAACCTGTGAAAAGATCAAGCTTCTCCTCTTCCTCCCTAGCTGCTTTTACCGTCTGAAGAAACGAAGCTTCCAGATTAAAAACAGCCAATCAGAGCCTGGGGGCGGGTCTTAGCGCTGTCAATCAATCTCATGTACTACATGATAACTGTGCTAACATTAGAGGAAAATTGTTTATTCACCTGACATTTTCTGCAACCATTTATTTTACTTATACTTTTTATAATCATTGTGTTGTAGTTTCCTTGTTTAGTGTTTATTGTATGAATGTGTTGTATTTACTGACAAAACTTGTGCAGTTAAATCATTTTAACCTTGCTTGCATAGCTGTTGTTAGTTTTTAGTGTCCAGGGACAAAACATGAAAAAAAGCTGTTCGGCTATTTCTGACACATTTACAGAATAAAATGTTAATTAATGTGTATTGTTCTTACCAAATAAATAAATAAATTACTGAAGAAGCTGTGAAACATCTGATAATTACATAAATAAAAATAAATGTCTGCCTCTCACCAACTATCAAACAAGTTAAATATGTAATAGCACAATAAAAAGATTTATATCAGTGGAACTTCAGTAGATATTTTGCTCATTTGGAAAGAGGAAGAGTGAATCACATTTCAGTCGTCCGTTTAATCTGCCAACCACAGATAAGACACAAATTGCTCATATATGGCTTTACATAATTCGCCTTTTAAAAAAATAGAGGATTATCCCTGAATAACTTAATTATGACTTGGTGAGATGAGATTAAACCTCATGACACACAGCTATAGGAAACATGAAGTCTCAATGACAGGAAATACATGAAAAGTAATGTAATGTATAAACTGATTGCTATTTGAACAAATAGGCATTTGTAATGCTTCTGTTAGTTTCCTACTAGCTTAAAACTAACCCAGCTGTTCCAGTTAGAAATGGGATATCAGTGAACCTGGTGACTTATGCTTCATCTATCATAGATAGGCTCTGATGAGCCCAACCTCCAATGCTAACTTCAACCATTACCAGCCATGTAAGCAGGCTGCACAGTGGCTCTGTTGGTAGAAGGTCCTGGGTTCGATTCCCAGCCAGGGTCTTTCTGCATGGAGTTTGCATGTTCTCCCTGTGCATGTTGGGTTCTCTCCCAACATGCACCACAGACAAAAAAATACATCACTGTCAGGCTAATTGGTTAAATTCTCGTTAGGTGTGAGTGTGCATGGTTGTCGTGTTTGTCTCTGTGTTGCCCTGCGATGGACTGGTGACCTACCCAGCGTGACCCCGCCTCTCACCCATTAACATCTGGAGATAGGCACCAGCACCCTTCCTAGAATAAGGGTGGATGATGGATGGATGGATGGATGGATGGATGGTTGAATGGATGAATGGATGATGGATGGATGATGGATGAATGAATGGATGGATGGACAGTTGGATGGATGGATGGAGGTTGGATGGATGGACGGTTTGGATGATGGATGGATGGATGATGGATGGCTGAATGGATGGTTGAATGGATGAATGGATGATGGATGGATGATGGATGGATGATGGGTGGATGGATGATGGATGGATGGAAGGATGGATGATGGATGGATGGATGGATGGATGAATGAATGGATGGATGGACAGTTGGATGGATGGATGATGGATGGATGGATGGATGGATGATGGATGGATGGATGGATGAATGAATGGATGGATGGACAGCTGGATGGATGGATGATGGATGGATGGATGGATGGATGGATGGATGGATGGATGATGGATGGATGGATGGATGATGGATGGATGATGGATGGGATGGATGGATGGATGATGGATGGATGGATGGATGGATGGATGATGGAGATGGATGGATGGAGGATGGATGGATGGATGGATGGGATGGATGGATGATGGATGATGGATGGATGGATGGATGATGGATGGATGGATGGATGAATGATGGATGGATGATGGATTGGATGGATGATGGATGGATGGCCCTGTAAGCTAATAGAAATGTTTTGTGCAGCAGAATAATTGCAGCGTGCCACATCTTGTGACATCTTGTGACATCTTGTGACGCGCTGCAATTTGTGACTTTCTGACTTTGATGTGCCTTTATTAAGGATCTTATGTTCCAAATGTCTTCTGGCCTTTTAGCGTTTCAGTTAACAAAATTATTCAGCCATAGTTGGATAGAAACACAGTGATTTGACTTTCAAGACATTTTTACATTTTAAGATTCCTTCACATTCATTTCCTCTGTGCTTGAGCATCAACAAAGCCCAGTTAATTGTAAAAACTTTTTGGACCACTAAAGTTTTCACTTTTTGGCTCAAACTTGCCGTCTCAGTTGACAAAGCAACTAAAGCTTTCATCCTTCTTGCTCCTGACTTATTAATTGGAAGGCTTATGTCACCCAGTGAGGCAGGTCAGCGAGAGTACATGCATTTCGGATTAATCACGGCTTAATTAACCTGCAGCTCTGGTTTGAAATGGTGCCCTGGTGAAGAGATGTGGGTCCCCTTTCAGCCTGGATACAGGGCCTGGCTGGGCGGACCTGATGAGATCATTGTTGTCAGAGCTAAACAACGGCCTCCCCAGGGACGACACAAGAACCCCCGAGCGTCCCTGATCATGCAGCGAGGAAAGTGACGGTGGTTTTGCCTGTTGATGTAAACAGGCAGCACTCTGGGGTGTAAGTCACCAATATCAAGGGCTGCGCCGCGTGTCACCGGGCAGATGCTA